GGTAGCTCATGGCAATCCACTGCAGCAGGGGCTGCAGCCTACACCATCGCCGGCGACTCCCGGCAGCCCAGCTCCAGGTTGAGCTGTTGTTCAGCATCTTAGCTGTGGAGGGCAGTGTCACTGGCCCTCATATGTGGGATCCGAACCGGTGCTCTCTGGCGTCCCAAGTCAGCTCTTAACCAACGCCCCACTCGGCCGGCCCACATCTACATTTTTAATCATACATTTGTAGAAGATGCAATTCCTAGTACATTATGAACATTGATATTTGTAAGTAAAACTACTACATCACTTTTTAAATTTACTGTTACATCACTGTTTAGATTAAATTTAAATCTAAACACCATAGCATCTAATGTTACCATCATCTATTTTAAAAATGCATGAACACCCTCTTTGTTAATAGCTGGTGTTCTTTTTTCTTCTTGAAATTTTATTCCTGTTTCACTTCCCCCATGGAATTTTATTCTAATGTAATATATATAATATATTTTTATGCTTAAAACTTTCATTTGTTTATCACATTTCTCTATAACCATTTTATACAAAGTTTAATTTCCTGAAATCATAAAACTCTAAGTATTAAAATTTTCTTCTGGTCTGATTTATTGTTACAATTATTAATAGTATGCAATTGATCAAAACCACATAAATGTATTACTAATTTGGATAATTAATAAACATAATAACTAAAATTATATTGAAAGTACATCTCTTATTGAGATGGTGATGCTGGATGACTATTTTTTTAAGTTTTTTTTTTTTAATTCCACAAATAATATTTTGAATTTAATTGTGTTAAATGCTGAAAGAAGTACATGGAGCTATGAGAGCAGGGGATATAGTAGATTCTGGGGGCAAGAACATGTTTTTATAGAAGTGATTGTTAGGGTCGTACTTGAAGAATGTATAGCAGTTCACCAGATGAGGAAAGAGGAAAAGAACATTCCAGACAGAGGGAGTAGCATGAGGGAAGGGCCTAAGTTGGCCAAGACAGTAGAGGGGGTTAGACCATAGTGACATAAACTGAATTTTTTCATTGACATACAACATACATACCTCTATGTGACCAGGTCAGAGTGGTCAGTTTGAATTATCAGAGTGAGCACAAACCATGCAAGTATCACCCAGGTGCAGAAATAGAATATTGCTGGTACTGGGTTATTTCTTGAATTTATTTATTTATCCAAGGAAGAATGTTATTTATTACATGAGACAAGGAGCCGCATCGATTCTCTCTCCACTTTTCATTTATATGCACTGAAAACCCTGATTCAAACAAGCCAGTAGATAGAAATACAAGTTTGTTAAGGCAGAGGCACTCACTTCTGGACCTGCCTCTGAGTTACATGCCAAAAATCACAGTGATCATGAACAATTATATTTTAATTTAAAAAAAAGGGGGAAACCCCCAGCTTGCAAAAAAGATATGGTACACATTCAAGTTGTTTGCTTTCTTAATTTTCTAAGTGTCATCTTCTGTGGTCGTCAGGGGCTTAGTCCCTGGGGCAGTAAACCCAGGCAAGATTTGGATGGGCTGGGTAAGAGGTTTGCCTTTCTTTTGCAAAGGAGGCGGGCTGTTGTAAAAGAGCAGGTATAAAAGAACACCTTGCATCTCTAGAACCCATCAGTTCTAGGTAAGCGTTTCTATGGAAGTTGAGGATGTGGAAATTGATTCTCTGGAAACTTTCTCTTAAAACTTGGGAGTGCACGTATAGTGCTTGGAAAGTCTTCAAGTACTCCCAAGAGTTTTCATATTGCAGTTTGAAGTCCCCGAAAGAACCTGTATGGACTCAAACCAGACTAGCCCAGCCTCTCCAAATTTCCTAGTTCATGTTTCTAAGAGACGACATCTGATTGGCCCAGCCTGGTTTTTTTGTGCCAGGCCACATCATAGGCTTCTGGCCAGATGGTCAGCCCTATGTACAGATGTTTCCCTAAGCAGAGGCCAGAAGGAAGCAGGTAGCTGTGTTGACCTAACAGGCAAACTGACAAGTGGATTACTCCTCCTTGAAAGTGTCTCCAATTCTGTTCTGCCAGTAACACACTCTCTAGTCTGTGAGATTCCATATCTGTGTTTTTACCTTTTATCACATGCAACTGTTTCCTTTTTGTCTTGTGCTTATTCATATGACCCCTCACCTTTTCTTTCTTCTTTTTAATTATTTTTTTTTAGTTTCAGGCATACAAAACATTGTAATAGTTAGACATTTACACCCCTCACAAAGTGATAACCCATCACCTTTTCTTCTCAAGAGCTGGCCCATATCCTAATAATTTCCTAGCATTATGCCTTATATTTTGTAGGCATCTATTAAGTATTTGTTGAGCAGATAAATTGATTAATGAATGTCTTAAACATCTTCGTATCTACAGGCCCTAGAATAGTGCTGGGCTTTTAATAGCAGGGTCCCAGAAAAATGGATGAATTAACCAGTGATAAAACAATTGAATTAACAAATCAATAAACTAAGAAGCCATTGGGCAACGGCTTGAAAGGGAGAGAGTCACATCTCACATAAGTGTCAAGATCTGCAGAATCAGTATAAAGTAGCGGTTCTCAACCTTTCACAGGGGTCGCCTAAGACCATCGGAAAACACATGTTTTCCGATGGTCTTAGGAATCGAGACACCGCTCCTCTATCTGTCTCCAGGCCCACATGCAGATACGCCCACATACGAGTACCCGGCAACCCCTGTGAAAGGGTCGTTCGACCCCCAAAGGGGTCACGACCCACAGGTTGAGAACCGCTGGTATAAAGGGTGTGGCATGTATGGAACTGGCTCTCTCATTAAGACTCCCGTTTTGTATTTATTCCTGTAACTGATCATGGCAGATATAATTGCTCATTGCAAAACATCCACGTAAATCCTTTCCTGTCCTTTGCATCTGTCTTGCAGGTGTGAGCGGCATCTCTTCACCACGGTGGTGTTTGGTCCGTACCTCAGCCCGGGTGAGGATGTAAAACCCCCCACTCTGTACATGAGTGGTACAGGCCAACAGGAACACCTGGCTCCAGCCACCTTCATAGACATGTCAGCCGTGGAGTAGTGTGGACGCTTTCTCTCACCTTCTCAGGGTTTCAGTCCTTTTGGGTTTGTTTCATTGACCTTTTTTTATGGTTTTGTGGCTGAACGTTCACGACCAAGGCAGGCACCATGGGAGATCAGCAAATGTACAAGACCAACCACGTGGCCCATGGTGGTGAGAACCTTTTCTACCAACAGCCACCACTGGGCATCCACGGTGGGCTGAACCACAACTATGGGAATACAGTCACAGGGGCTGGAATGGAGGCCCCTCAGGCATCACCCATTTCCCCCCACTTCCCCCAAGATACTCGGGATGGTCTAGGCTTGCCTATTGGCTCCAAAAACCTTGGCCAAGTGGACACCTCGAGGCAGGGAGGATGGGGAAGCCACACAGGGCCTGGAAATCATGTCCAGCTACGTGGCAACCTGACCAACTCAAACATGATGTGGGGGGCACCAGCCCAGGCTGAGCCCGCCGATGGCTACCAATATACCTACTCCCAGGCCAGCGAGATCCGGGCCCAGAAGCTCACCAGCGGTGTCCTGCACAAGCTAGACTCTTTTACCCAGGTGTTTGCCAACCAAAACCTGCGGATTCAGGTCAACAACATGGCCCAGGTGCTGCACACCCAGTCAGCAGTGATGGATGGAGCCCCTGACAGTGCCCTCCGCCAGCTGCTGTCCCAGAAGCCCATGGAGTCCCCGGCGCCGGCTCTCCCTTCTCGTTACCAGCAGGTGCCCCAGCAGCCTCACCCTGGTTTCACTGGTGGACTGTCCAAACAAGCTCTTCAGGTCGGGCAGCACCCTAGCCAAGGGCACCTGTATTATGACTACCAGCAGCCGCTGGCTCAGATGCCAGTGCAGGGAGGACAGCCACTGCAGGCCCCACAGATACTGTCCCAGCACATGCAACAGATGCAGCAGCACCAGTATTACCCGCAGCAGCAACAGCAACAAGCTGGGCAGCAGCGCATGTCCATGCAAGAAATGCAGCAGCAGCAGATTCGCCCACCACAGCCTCAGCAGCAGCAGCAGCAGCAGCAGCAGCAGCAGCAGCAGCCCCAACAGCAACAACAGCAGCAGCTACAGCAGCGGCAGGGTTCGATGCAGATACCTCAGTACTATCAATCCCCACCCATGATTCAGCACTTGCAAGAGCAACAGCAGCAACAGATGCACCTGCAGCCCTCTTCTTATCACAGGGACCCCCACCAGTACACCCCAGAGCAGGCGCACGCTGTCCAGCTGATTCAGCTGGGCTCCATGCCCCAGTACTACTACCAGGAGCCGCAGCAGCCCTACAGCCACCCCCTCTACCAGCAGAGCCACCTGTCCCAGCACCAGCAGCGTGAGGACAGTCAGCCCAAGACGTACCCAAGCGACAGGCAGACCCAGGCCATGATGAGCTCCCACGGGGACCTGGGGCCTCCTGATTCAGGAATAGGAGACCCAGCGAGCTCGGACCTGAACCGGGTCAGCAGTGCCCTCCCCCATCGGCCGCTCCTGTCCCCCAGTGGAATCCACCTCAACAACATGGGACCTCAGCACCAGCAGCTGTCGCCCAGTGCCATGTGGCCCCAGGTATTCTCACAGTGGAAGTTTCTCCTGGTATCTCAGCTACAGGGCCAGCCAGGGCTGAGTCTATGCAGTGCCCAGTGCTCTCTCCAACCCCCTCAACACTTTCGTTCTTTATTCATTCCACAGATGTTTATGTACATGAGCCAGGCGCTGTCTGTGCTAGGCACTTGGAATACAGAATCAATTTTGACTTAGCCTTTTGCCCATAGAGCTTCTAATCTCACTAATGGAATGGCCAAAACACTGCCTCAGGCCCTGAATGATGCATGTGACCATCAAGGCCTTGAGTCAAGTGCTGGGGACCACACAGTAGGCATGTCTGGTCCCCCTTGGGTCTGTATCCTCAGGGTGTGCCCTGTGAAATGGTTCCCTGTTTGAGAGGGAGAGCCCATTATGACAGCATTTCTCAAAGTATTACTCAGAACAGGAGTTCCATAGAATGTTCAATGTATATTACTGGGGAGGGGGGGAGAAGAGGGTTCTACAGATTAATTTGGGGTTTCTTAAAATAAAGCAAGTCTCAATGCTGCAGGACTTCGCAGTGCCTTTAATATTCTAATGTGCACTCTGAGTCTCCCAAAGAGGATACCACATGTAGTTGCAGAATTGAAAATCTTAGCTGCCCACAGGATCCAGGCAGGTAAAGTGAATTAGCAAAATGGCCTGCTAAGAGACAATAGGAGTGGTGGCAACTGTGGTGGCCTGGTGAGCGGATGTTCCATCTAATGGCATTCAGGACTTTTAAAAACAGTGTACCCAAACAAACATGTCCACAGGCCAGATTTAGCCTGTAGGCCAGTTATTAAACTTCAGTCGTTTCCCAAATGTATTTGACCAGAAAACAGCCTACTGTGTGCTGGGTACTGTTCATGCCTTGGCTTGTTCCAAGTGCGACTCATAGGAGGAGACCTTGAATAGGAGGATGAGGTCAGATGGAGAGAGGGCTCTGAAGGCTAGAGTTGAACCCTCCTTGATTCTGTTTTGTTTGGGCTTCAGGCCCAGTAGTAACTGAGCGCCTGTGTGATATGAGAATAAGATGACATGGTCAGGCTGGAAAAGAATTCCAGCAGGAGGTCTCCTGGCATGATGCTGTTTTGTATAGCTCTCCATTCTGTGTCTCTCACGGGAATGGAGCCTGTCTGTGCACAGAGTGGGTGAACTGGGAGAACAAGAAGGAATGAGTGGGGCATTGAGTCCTGGTGGGTTTGTGGCTGGTGGCAGTTCCTGGAGTGGGCTGTGGCCCCAAGTTAGCAAACAGTCAAGGGAAAGAAGTCTCCGGTGTGGAAGAGGGAGGGCATGAGCAGCTGCGAGCATGGTCAGTGTCAGGCATGTGGACAGCGGGGGCAGAGTCCAGGAAGTGCAGCGCTGGGGTTCCTGCTGCTCCAGGACCCCTCCCATCAGAAACACATTTTTTTTTCTTTCTCCTTTCTTCCGGTGTTCTGCATGGCTCAAAATTAGATGCACCTACCAGATGGCAGAGCCCAGCCAGGTTCCCCTGAGTCAAGGTAGGATGGGTACAGGGAGGCTTGTTGACATTTTGGGAGACTGGGAGGTTTTCCTGGGTTGTCTCTCATGGTTCATTTCCAAATTCAAAGTCAATTCCTCAAAGAAACTTATAGGAATAATTACAGCAGCTGTTGTGTTTGAGTGCCTACTGTGTGCTAGGCACCCTATATTATGTGGAACAAAGTAACCCATTGAGGATGGGCGTGATTACCATGTGCCTAGCACAGAGTGAGCCCTCAACCATTGTTAGCTATTATCACTATTATTTTGCAAATGAGAAAACTGAAGCTCAGAGAGCTTAAAGTTGCACATCAAGTAACTAGCAACACTAGGATTGACTCCAAAGTCCATGTCCTGTGCACTGTCCATTCATTCAGTCAGTGAGTAGTTATTGAGGACCTACTGTGTGCCAGGCATAGTGCTCAGCTTTGAGAATGCCGCAGTGACTAGTCAGACTTGTTTCCTCCCCTCGTGGGCATGGTAAATAAACAAAGACCTGCTAGCGTGCTAAAATGTGTGGTCTGGAGGCTGAAACAGAGGACTCAGACACATGTCTCTAAGAGAAGGTTCTGGAAGAGGCGGGCCCAAGCTGACCCTAAAAGGGTAATAAGCCATAGGTGAGAAGAACCTAGCACCTGAAGGCCTTGAATGAAGAAGGACGTTTTGTTCAACTCTTAACATGGTTTTGAACAAGCCCTTTCCCACTTTGAGCCTTAGTTTTCCATCTGTAAATTGGGCATCATACCCTGAAGGGCATTGGGGTGATATAAGTGGGGCCATGGACATGGGAGCACTGGATGAATAAAATGGGTTTGTTGTGGGGTGTGAGGTCTTGCAGTACATCACTGTTCCCCTTCTTCAACATGTGTGTCCCCTCCATTTGGCCCTACCCTGGAGCAGTGGCCAAGCAAAAGGAGTGTTTGGGGAGCAGTTTGATGCCAAGAACAAGCTGACGTGCTCCATCTGCCTGAAGGAGTTCAAGAGCCTACCTGCCCTGAATGGCCACATGCGGTCCCATGGGGGGATGAGGGCCTCCCCCAGCCTCAAACAGGTGAGCAGGAGCCAGCCCCTGTCCTTCCCAGGCCATGTGCTGCTTGCTTTGCTTTGCTGCCATCAGAGAGTGAGATGATCCCCGTGAGGGCACCTGGGGAGGCACAGTCCTTTCCTAAGGGGAATGCTTAAGCTTTGATGCTGTGAGCCAGTCAGGTCAAACAGTCCCCACTTCCACTGGCCTCGTGAACAAGGATCAAAAACAGGTGCCAGAAATCCTTTGAGGGGATCCCAGCCTCCCCACCTCCTGGAGAAGACAGCCAAGAAAACATGTAGATGTGATATTATTTTTAACTTTGCTGCTTGAAGCACCTAAGACCAAGGTCACTTGGGCCTTCCAGATTGATAGTCGATGGCCAGGGAAAGCTAATGTGACCACCAGGCTCTCAGCCAGCAGATGTATTCACCAGTGCACTAGTCTTAAGATTCTAGCATCCAAAGATCTTTAAATACCCTCACGATTATCAAGGTAGAATATCCATGTCATGAACTGTCCATTCAGTTTTATTAGAGTTAGATTAAAATTCAAAGAATTTTCTCAATTCTTTGAATATTGTTGATCTTGATTTAAGTCTATGGGATTAACTCTCTGTTCACCAAAACTTTGGATTACCCAGGTCACTTCATGTCTTGACCATACCAGATAAAACAGGTTGGTCTTCCATTTGACTGATGAGTAAACTGAGGCCCATAGAATTACAAGGTCCTACACAAGAGTTTATGTTTTATTTTCTGATAATCCCATATCCTTTTCTGTAAAAGCAATGACAACCACAAAAAAATATTAATATTTGTATTAACATACGAATGATACACAGTCAGGATTTGTGTAATGTAGACAATAGAGTGCATGGTCTTGTCATGGCCAACTGGCATCACTTAAGCTGAGGAACTCAAGAGTTGCAGGAGGGAAATCACCCTGCAGTGGTCCTCTGTCACCCACTTATGACGTCCTGGGACCTTTCAGGAAAAGCAAAGCATGTCCCCTCGTGAGAGTTGCTCTCAGCCCAGGATCAAAGCCTTTATTGTCTGTGTAGGAGGAAGGAGAGAAGGCCCCGCCACCTCAGCCCCAGCCACTGCCGCCTCCGCCGCCACCGCACCTCCCTCCTGAGGCAGAAAGCCTCACGCCTATGGTCATGCCCGTGTCTGTCCCTGTCAAGCTTCTCGCACCCAAGCCCAGCTCTCAGGGCTTCGCCAACAGCGTCGTTGCTGCCCCCTCCGCCAGAGACAAGCCAGCCAGCTCGATGTCGGACGACGAGATGCCCGTGCTCGTGAGGATGACCCTCTCTCCCCCACACTCACCCCAAGGGGCTGTCCCCTGCACGCCTGCTGTGAGTTGCTGCTCTGCCCCACCTGCCTGGGGTGGGGACATCCCTTTGCTTTCTTGGAGATGGGGATAGATCATCCCAGGGTCACTGGCCTGAACTCAGATATGGGTTGGCCTCTCAGGACAGAGCCCCCAAGGCTGCCTGGGGAATCCCATCCTTGTCCACACTGCCCGATACCCAGGAAACACCTGTTACTCTACCAGACGAATGGTCTGGATTAGATCCTGAGAGGCCTGATGGTGTTCCCACACTGAAACAGAGATGATAACTCAGCTGGTAATCACAGTTATTAAAATACGGAACTATTGTCCCAGATAATAAATAGCTGTTGCCCAGGGCCCTGGCCCCTCCCACAAGGTCTCCAGACCTCCCCAAATCTAGCAACCAAAGGTATAACTCCTGACAAGCGTGACAAGCAAGGCCTGCAGGCAATAAATAGCCTTGGCATCTATTCTGATAGTCTTACCAGATGCTTAATACTTTCAGCATCACATCTGTGTAAATACCCTTGGAGGACCTAATTCATTAAGGTCCTCAAAGTAATTCCACTAAGAACACCCACCCCCAATCTCAGGAAAGCAAAGAGATTTGTGTTTCTCACTCACTGTTCAGTTCTCTTTCTCAAATTCCAAATGCTTCACCCAAGTAGCTCAGCTTGGCTCTGGAACAGAGATCTCTATCTCTTTGTCTCTCTCTTCTCTCTCCCTCCCTCCCGCCTTCCCCCAGTGAGTCTGTAACCCACATGGTTGACTTCGTCAGATTTGTCCCCTCCCACAAGAAGTTGCTGGGTCATATTTGTCTAAGAATAGGTGGCTGCTGGGGTTCCAAGAGGCATGAGGGTGGGGTTGGGCCAGATCAGGGGTAGGGAGGTTAACTAAGAGAACTAGAAAATTTACACCTGAAACTAACAAAAAATAATAAATTAAAACAAAAACAAAAACAATAGAACTAAAAAAGTCCAGAAAGAGCTTTCTTTTCTTTTCTTTTTTTAATATTTTTATTTTTTATTCTCTATGTAATATCAAAGCCTCAGAAAGGAGAGACTGATGGAGAATTCTGGGGGTGAGGATTCTCATAAGCTGGCAGGGTTAAGGCCAGCAACAGGCAGAGAGATATGACATAGCCAGGCTCCCTCTGCTCAGAAAGTCCATGATTTGGTGAGAGAGATACTGCTTCTGCCCTTGGAGAACTCACAGCCTGAAGCTGTGAGAGATAGTGAGGTTCCTGGTCACACAGGAAGCACAGCCCCAGGCAGCATACCCTGCCCCAACTCAAGACAGTGAGATCAAGAACCAGGGCAGCCCTGGGAGTGGCAGGAGGACGATACACCTAGGTAGCTGGAGTAGGGGCTGGGGAGAGGAGAGGGAGTTTGGTATGAGTTGGCTCAGAAGATCATCGTAAGTGGAGTACTGAACAGGGTTTTGAAGACAGAGATGAACTTGGCTTTGTGGAAAGGGTGAGACATACTGTAAGTGGGGAGATAAACTGAAGTGGAAGCATGTAGGTGGGGGTTGAGTACATGTGAGCAAGGTCCTAACACTTGATAAAAAAGAAATTAAAATATCCAGAGAGGAGCCCTGCGTTCTAGTCCCAACTCTGCTCCTGCCCCGCTGGGACACAGGCAGCTGACACCCTCCCCTTCCCAGACCCTCAGTTTCTCCCCAGTCCTTCAGGGGCTGGACTCAATGGGGAGCTTTTACAACCCCTCAGCGCTTGGCCCTGCCTCCAGAGTCTGAATAGCGTGAATGGGGTAGAACACTGTAAATGCTTCCTGTCAAGTGACATCCAGGCCTGACATTTTGGTGGATTCCGTGGCCCAGGGCCTCAGAGCCTTGCCTGGAGGATCAGGAAATCTGGGTTTAGTGCTGAAGTAACAGGACCTCAAGTAGAGGAGCCCAAAAGGGACCTTTGGCCCTGTGATCAGAGGTCTGGATTCCGGTGCAGAGTTGAAGCCACCTTGAGGTCTGCACATGCTCAGATGACCTCATCAGTCACTCAGGAACAGGGTAAAAAACTTTCAGGATTGCTCCGCAGGTTGGGGAGCACCAGCATCATCTCCCCATTCTCCTCAGTCCCCTCTCTGTTCCTCAGCTACAGGGGGTGAAGTGCCCTCTTGTGGGGAGAGGAGGCAGACTGGGGCCCACTGGCCTAAGGATAGCACCCTGGGGGTGAGCTGGGAGCCTGGAAGCCCTCTGTCCCTCCTCCTTTCCCCACCTCCCTGCTTTCCTAGATTCCATTCCTAGGGGCTGGGACAGCACCCGGAAGACAAAGAAGCTGAGGGAGAAAGAGGAGAGGGCAGCCTGAAGTGCTGAAGGCAGCAGCAGGGGCCCAGAGAGAGAGAGAGAGAGAGAGAGGAGCCCAGAACTGAGGGCTCCTGGGGCAGGTCACATGACTTGGAGACAGTTGGTCACATGACCATGGCCATCCCTTCCCATCAACCCCTGCTGCCTTCTACCTCAGGCACCATCCTGGGCTCAGGAATTGCCAAGGACTGCAGCTGTGACAGGCACTGGCCTGGGAAGTGACCACAGACTGCCCAGAACCTCTCTGCAGGTATCTCCACAGCCTCTCCCAACTCCACAGCCGCCTCTGCAGCCAGCCACGCCTAGCTCTTGGTTTTTCTGGGCTGAGGCTGGCACACAACCCAAGTCTGTCTGTTTGGCTTTGGCATGCCCTGCTTATCTATTCACGTGCATATGTTTACTTATTACTAGATCTTCCTTCCAGACTATATACTTGGTTCTGCTGCCATAAAATAAACTAACCCGGCTGACAGGAAGTCAGTGTAGGAAAAGGGTTTGCTACGAATGTGCCACCATTGCTGGGAGCTGTAGCTGAGGCGTGCTGACGGGAGAGGTTAACCAGGTCCGTTATTAGGAGAGCACATGAAGTGGGCTTGGAAGGTCATAGACGGCTCTCCCTCAGCCTTCCAAGTTACCTCACAGGAGAGCCCGGTGCGGGTCACTAGCCCTGAAAGCCGTGGCCAGGCCTGACCCCGTCTTCCTACCCCACAGCCTCTGCCCAGGTTCCCTGACGAGATTATTCGGCGCCCTTCTCAGGAGCATATGTTATCTGTCCCTGATGTTTGTCCCTGGGGAGCAATGGGGAATTAAAGGGCCCACTCGGCTGGATTCCACACACCAGATGGGAATGCAGTGAGAACGCAATAAAGAATGCGAATTTATTCTTTCTGGCCCACCCCGCTATTCCTACCGACCCCGTCTCTCTTCAGACATGAGCGATGACCTCCAAAACCAACGTTTTCTCCCTGGTCAAGCCACCAGAACTCGTCGTGTCTGAAAATGGATGTGGCTGGTTTTTTTTAAGACAGGATGCTGGGGGGGGGGGTCAGACAAGTGGAAGGGGGTCCCCATGAGAATAAAAGCCCCCCTTCCCTCACCCTGTGGTATCGGCCTGTGGGGAAAGCATGAGTGTCTGAATCGGATCCTTCTCCCCGTTGTAGGAACTTCCCAGGAAGCATCAGCACGGCGCGGCCAAAGCTGAGGAGCCACTCAAGATTGTACCTGAGAAGAAGAAGTTCCGGCACCGGCCCGAGCCGCTCTTCATCCCGCCCCCGCCCTCTTACAACCCCGCCCCCTCCTACTCGGGCGCCACCCTGTACCAGAGCCAGCTGCGCTCGCCGCGTGTGCTGGGAGACCATCTGCTCCTGGACGCCGCCCACGAGCTGCCCCCTTACACGCCCCCGCCCATGCTGAGCCCGGTGCGCCAGGGTTCGGGGCTCTTCAGCAATGTCCTCATCTCGGGGCACGGCCCCGGCGCCCACCCGCAGCTGCCGCTGACGCCCCTGACGCCCACGCCGCGAGTGCTGCTGTGTCGCTCCAGTGAGTCGGGCCCCCCCTGCGCCGCCTCAGGGACCCCGGGGGTTTCGTCTCTGCCCGTGCTGGGCGCTGACTGCCCGAAGAGGGCTCGCTTTCTTGAGTCGTCTCATGCCACACACTTTGTGGAGCGTTCCTACGCTGTGTACCGGGCGCTGTGCTCGATGCTAGAAATACTTAGAATTAAGTGTTACACTTACGCTCAGGGAATCGTAGCCTCGCTGAGGAGACAAGCTCGTCCAGCGATACTTACAGCCTCTCCGAGATAAGGAAACAGTTGAAGTGTGCACGCACTAAATAAGACTTGGCTGTGGGTAGTCGTGTAAGACACCCCCCAAAATAAACGTGCTAAGGAGATGTTCAGAGAGGACTAGGCGTGATGAGCAAGACCAGGCCTCCACATTTTCGCATCCTCTGTAAAGATCAAGGATGGAGAGGCCTGTAGCCAGGATCTCTTTCTAGAGCAAGAATAGTTTCATAGAAACAGTAGAGCTTAGCAGACCAGAGCGGGGCAGCTGGCTTCTCCTTACCCCCAGGAGAGAAATGGGGAACCCTAATAAGCCAGTTCGCACCACACTCCCTCCAGCCCCTCGCAGACAGTCGGGAGTAACTCTGGAATGGGCTGGGAGGCGAGAGCCCTGCTCTAACTGTGTAGGTAACTGCTCCTTTGCTTCCATTTCTTCAACACCTTTTCCCTGTTGACCAGTGACCTCTCGTTTTTGTGCTTCAGACAGCATCGACGGCAGCAATGTGACAGTCACCCCTGGGCCTGGAGAGCAGACCGTTGATGTTGAACCGTAAGGAAAAGCCAATTATTCTTTAGAACAGAAGCCTCAGCTGAGGAAAGGGATGAGGAGCCTTGAGAAGTGGGAGTTAGTACTTCTGGGGTCAGAGTGGCCACTGAGGGAGACGTTGTAGAAATGATAGGATCACGGATCCTGATATTTCTCGAGGACCATTGTTACCTTGTAATTGCTGGTGTTTTGAGGCCTTTGCCAAAGTCTAAATAGTAAAGCATGAAGCCCTGTGTTCAGAGCACCCCTGTCTCCGGCTCCATAGGCCAGTTAGGTTGTGGCCACCTGCTTTCACATCCCCAGTGACATTGAGGCATCTCTCTGACAGTACCCAGCTCTCTATGAGGCGTCTTCCAAATGTCCTTGCTTTCCCCATCCCCTCCCTAAGATTCTTGGCCGGTCCTCCACATGGGATTGTTGAGTAGTGAGTGGGTGGTGAGGGGTATAACGGAAGAGGAAAGTGTTGATTTTCATGGATAAGCACAGAAATGACCCTATAGTAGAGAGATGAGTAGACTGAGTCGGGAATCAGAAAACCTGAGTTCCAGGACCATTTTGTTATTTAATCTTAATCAAATTAGCCTTTCTAGGCTTTAGGTAACTCACCTATTAAATGGGAATCATTGTCACCACCTTGGTTACACCACAGGTCTTTGTGAGGTTAAGATGGGATAATTCGTGTGAAAGTGGTCTGAAAGGGGTAAAAAAATGAAATAAGCATTTTGTATTTGTCCCATTTTTCCTGGTTAAATGGTGTCATCAGCTATGCACTGGGCAGCTGTTTTCTTGGAATTAGCTCCCTCTCTCTCTCAGCTCTAGAGCTGTGAAGCCCTAGGCTGACTTCTCTCTTGCGTATCTCCCCAATCTCAAAACTGTTCTGTATCCCAGTGAAAAGGCCATGCCTGGAATCTTAGGATCACACTGTGAGGAAATGCCCCTGCATTCTTCTTGCAGAAGGAACTGGTTTCCTTCTTTTTCAAGTTCCTGACCAGTTACCCTTGGCCTCAAATTGAAGACCACACTGCTGTTTTTTCTTCTTGTCGTTAAAGACGCATCAACATTGGCTTGAGATTTCAAGCAGAAATCCCAGAACTCCAAGATGTCTCTGCCCTGGCTCAGGACACACACAAGGCCACACTGGTCTGGAAGCCCTGGCCGGAGCTGGAAAACCACGACCTCCAGCAAAGAGGTATTGGCATGTGGGAAGAAGTGGGCAGGGAAGGCTTGATTCTCTCATGGGGATCCCTGGCTCCAGGATCGGTGTGTTTTTCCATGAGACTGAGCTCTCGCTGATGCAGTGGCCTCTTGTTCCCAATAGTGGACAATCTCCTGAATTTTTGCTGTTCAAGTGCATTGCCAGGTGGAGGGACCAATTCGGAATTTGCTTTGCACTCTCTCTTCGAGGCCAAAGGTGATGTGATGGTAAGGAACCATGAAAAGTAGGCTTCACAGTTCATTTTGTTTGTTTGTTTGTTTGTTTGTTTGTTTGTTTAAGATTTTTATTGGGGAATTGGGGAGGGGAACAGTGTTGGGGAATTGGGGAAGGGGAACATTGTATTTTTTCAGGACCTATCAGCTCCAAGTCAAGTTGTTGTCCTTCAGTCTTAGCTGTGGAGGGTGCAAGTTCAGCTCTAAGTCTAGTCACTGCTTTCAATCTAGTTGCAGGGGGCGGGGTGTAGTCCACCATCCCATGTGGGAGTCGAACCAGCAACCTTGTTGCACACTGACCCATCCGGCCGCCCATCAGCAGCTTGAGGCTGCTCAGCTCAAGGTGCCATGTTCAATCTTAGTTGCTGGGGAGGGGCGCAGCCTACCATTCCATACTGATGTCGAACCTGCAACCTTGTTGCTAAAAGCAGGCGCTCTCATCAGCTTGGATGCAGCTCACTGGCCCACGTGGGAATCGAACCGGCAACCCTGTTGTTCAGAGCTCACGCTCTTAACCAAGTGAGCCACTTGCTGGCCCCACAGTTCATTTTCTTCATGTCAGAATTCTGAAAAATATTTTCCTAAGTTTCTTTGTTGTCCCACATACCATACAACCAGTTCATAAGATGATGACCAGTCAGCATGCCTCCATGTTTCTTATCTCAGTGAGTAGGTTAGGATTTAAAAAATTGCGGGGAAACTTCCAGTGGGACTTCACAACTATGAATCACAACTATGGACACCTCTGTCTTGGGAAATTGGAATTACTTGGAAGCACTCTTGTATTTTACGTCATAAAACGTCTCCAGTAATGGAGGTGGTTGGTCTAGAACAGGGGTTGGCAGACTTTTGAGACAGAAGAGCCAATCCTGTCCCTCACAACAATTTAAAAATTATTCGAGAGCCATAAAACAAATGAAATCACCATTATGTGAATAATATCCTTTAAAATTTTTATAAATGAAACTATGATAGTTTTATTTTCATTTTCAATTTTGCTTCAGAGCCACATGTATGTACCCAAAGAGCCGCATGTGGCTCGCAAGCCGCAGTTTGCCGAGCCCTGGTCTATCGTTCTCTGCTGATTGTTCTTCTCCACCATGGAAATCAGCCTAAGTGGATGTCCAGAGAACTGTTTTTTCCCTTGACCACGATGAAGTATTTGCTTCATTCTTCCACCCTTGGCGGTTCTTGAGTCAAACCAGAGCTTTGGTGCCATCTTCCCAGAATCAGAGCTGACCATTTGCCTGCTCAACCTGGACTCCTGGCTAGATCACTCAAGCACTAACCTCAGTTTCCCCTCCAGTAAATATACGATTCTTGTACCAGATCTAGCTTTCTGCTTTTTTGATTTTATGGAAATGTGAAAGTAAGCAAATGTCCCAGTACTACCTTCTTATGAGATTATTTGGTACCCTTTAAGGATTCTTCTAGAATGTTGGCGAGAACTCCCCTTAACCCTTTGAGATTCATGTTGCAGAACAGAACTTATCGAACTTTTAATGTGCACACAAATCACCCAGGGAATCTTGTGAAAATGCAGGTTCTTATTCAAGAGTTCTGGGATGGGTGGGGCCCAAGGCTCTCCCTTTCTCACCAGCAACCAGGGATGCCTGTGCTGCTGGTTGTGGACCACACTTGGGAGTAGCAAGATTCTAGACCTTGCTCTGCCCCTAAGCCATCCACTGCTCAACTCTGGCTGCAGCATTTTTCTAAAAAAAGTCAGCAAGACTGAAGAAGTTAGATTTGAAAGGGTTTATTGGGGCCAGCTGAGTGGTTCAGTTGGTTAAGAGCGCGAGCTCTGAGCAACAGGGTCACCGGTTCGATTCCCACTTGGACCAGTGACACTGCGCCTGAGCTGAGAGGCCGCCGAACTGCCAACAGGTGGCAGTATGGCTCAGTGGTTAGAGTGTGTGCTCTTAGAACAGGGTTGCCGGTTCGACTCCCGCACGGGATGGTGGGCTACACCCACCCGCAACTAAGATTGAACCACGGCACCTTGAGCTGAGTGGCTGCGAGCTGCCGATGGGCGGCCAGATGGCGACTGGACATGGAGCTGAGCTAGCTGCACCCTCCACAACTAAGATTGAAGGACAACAACTTGGCTGTTCCCCTTCCCCAACTCTCCAATAAAATCTTAAAACAAACAAAAAAAAAGGCGTTTATTTAGCTAGGCGCTCTGCGAGGACAGTGTCTAGTACAGTCATCACTAATACAGCTGTTTATGTTCAGTTGGAATGAAACATGATTTTTCTGCACAAACAGTGACAAATTACCCACTCATTTCCTCAGAATCCTTCCCCCAGAGACTCAGCCTCCATTCAGCGGAGGTCTCACCATATCTCTCAGGCTGGGGCCCTCACCAAGGAGGGAGTGGGATTGGACATGACCAGCTGGCTGCAGGCATGGGCTGGGGGAGGGTTAGAGAAGCGAGCCCTATTGGGTCCTGACCAGAAAAGAAACCCAATTAGAGGACTCTCCCTCTGGTTTTCCTTCCAGCACCCCCAACCTCAGGCTCTGCAGTGCTGACCCCTTTTCCCCATTAGGTAGGTGGTCTCCCCAGCACACACAGACCCATTACTGACTCTTGCCTTTTCTCTCCCATGGGTCTGCAGGCTGCTCTGGAGATGCTACTGCTGCGGAAGCCAGTCAGGTTAAAATGTCATCCTCTAGCAAATTACCACTATGCCGGTAGGTTGCCAGGAGCTCTGTGCCCTGTTGCTTCCTGGGAGGGGTTTGTTTGCATGTTTGGTTGCGTTGCATTTTAACAGTAGATAGCACTGTTGCTGTCTTAATCACCACTGTGATCTCAAGGCCTTCTGGGGCATCGCTGATGGGGCAGTTTTGTCTGTTGGTTGGGCACTGTTGGGTGTTTGTCTGTATGGACTCCTGCCCCTCATGGGTATGCCAATAGCTGGGTGGTAGTGGACAGTGCCTGCATGGGTGGCAGTGAGACTGCTTCGGTGTACAGAGCCACAGAGGGCACAACACTGAACAGCAGCCCCTCAGCTTAAAATCAGTAGACATGGTTCAACTCTTGCCTTTATCCCTCAGCCTTTTTCTGCAGCCATCGTTTCCTCACCTGTGAAATGGGGCTCATACTCCATCCCTTGCAATGAAGATTAGAAATAGTATGTGTAGCCCAGTGCCTGGCACATCCTAGAGACAAGTATTATTCATTTATCGAACAGTTATTTATTGAGCATTTCCTGTGTACAAGGGACTGTGCCAAGCACTAAGATGAAACAGTTGAGTGTGACAGACATGGGCAGCGTCCTACCTCATGCAGCGTGGAGTCTAAGGAGGAGGCAGTTGTTAAACAGCACGTCACACTGATAGCAGGAGCAATGGTACAGACACATCTCCACGTGCATGTGCCTTCTGAGGGTGTGGATTAACAATGGCATCACCAGTAAGAGGGAGGGAGAAGACACCTTTGAGCATTGAATGGAGTGAGAATCATGAGAGAGAAGGAAACAGGTTGGGGAGCCTAAGAGATGATAAGTGAAATTGAAGTCGGCATTTTTACTTCCATGGACTGGTAAACCCGTCCGTTCTGAGGGTCTCCACAAAGCTGCCTGGGTTCTGTCTTTCAGAGGGGCTGAGTCCTCCAGCGCCCCTTGATCATCATTAATAATTTACAGGTTTCCTTGGTGCCTTGGGCAGACCCTACGTAGGTAGGTGCCCAATACTTGAGTGGGTTTGGGGACCTAGTAATACTTCTTCCAGTCCTTGGTCCAGGCAGCCAGATAGGCCTAAGCTGAGGGCTGCTTTATAAACACTGGCGCGCCCTCAGTGGGCATCTTGTCCCCACCACCGTTGGCCTCATTAAACATGCTCCTCTTATGAGTTGACCTTCCCGCCTGTCATCACAGGGTGGAAGGCCTCAAACTACTCATCTGAGCACAGCAAGCCCGAGATGTCTGCCTGGGGGTCACTCTCAGTGCACAGGCCACTACTTTCTAACCTCTTTTTATGTCACGTCACACATAAATGGACACAAAAGATCAGAAATACATCAGTGGCCTAAAGGAGCGGTTTTTTCATATTGTCTCCATCATTTCCTGCTTGGTGTCTGCCCCGAATGTGGGTAGAAAGATGTGGGAGTTTTCCCTAATCTGCCGTGGAAGCAGTTCCATCCTGTCCTAATTCCGAGTGTCATCTGCTGCCCATTAAAACCCGGACAGGCTGTCCAGCCTCCTGGAGCCTGTCTCAAGTTTGCATAGCGGGTGAGACGGTTGATGAGAAGGAGCTTCTGAACCATCTGCTGCGAGACACATCTGTCCTCGGCCCTCGGGGTGATGGGTGGCCGGCGCCTCTGGGCTGGTCAGCTCCAGCTGTGAGCAAACTCATCTGGGACCCCAACTCCCTCCAGTGCTTCCCAGTATGCCAAGCAAATATTATTTTTTATGTGTGACTTGACATTAAAACAAAAGGTTAGAAAGTTAAGGACTAGCAGCTCCTCAGCCCCACTCCAAACAAAACAAAATGAAAACACTAAAAGAATACCAGGAACTTGGAAATTCGAGGGCCCTTAACTCTACTAAAATGAATCAATCTTGGGATTGGGGGTTCCTAGCTAATCCTTGGCCCATCCCCTGGCCCCTTCCCCTACAGGCAGACCAGGAAGGACTGAGTTGCTTCCTGGAATCGTTTCAACCCTTGGAGGCAAGAGAGGTAGGGTAGAGGTGTGAAGGGTTGGTGCCTCGCTAGCTGTGTGTCCCCAAGAAAAGAGTGCTCGCCTACGTCTGTCAATCATGTGCCTTCTCCAGGAAGTGATCCCAGACTGGGCCCCAGAGAATCTTATATAATTATGAGCAAAAAGGGCAGAGGTCATTGGTCTCCAAAGTCTGACCAGACTCCATCCGCTTAACATTTCCCTTCCAAGCCACAGGGGAAGCCACAGAGTGTACCCCGTCCCAGGCTTCTTACCCCATTCTCATGCTCCTTATTTGGTTCTGGGTGTTGACTGATCCTATCTCTGTGGCCCCATCCTGCCTTGGCCTTTGTGCCAAGCCCCACTGGGCTGCTCTCTAGGAGGGCTGGTCTGTCAGTTCAGTTTGTCGCCAGGATGCTATCTTCGGGATGTCCTTTGGCTTCTGGCTCTGTGGCTGTGGCCAGTGTCACCCCACCCCGACTCCCAGCTCTGACCCAATCTCCCAGGCCTGTCTGTGCCCTGGAGGGAAGGTGGAAAGACGGGGCTCAGGGAGGGAGGCTGCAAGTTTGGGGGAAGACAGAAACAGAAGCCTGTGAAAATCCCTTTCCTTACTTTACTCATGACCTTCCCTTTCCCACCCCACCCCAAGCAATTCAGTAAGAAAAGGGAAAAGTGACTGCTGATGCAGGGGCCCAGGAGAGATACTGCGGTGGGTAGGCAGCTCGCCCAAATCTTAGAGCTGCTTGCCAAGACCAGAGGAGCCCTAATGAGATCCTCAGAGGAAGGTGCTGTTGCAGTAGCTCCCAACGCTCTTTAATCCACACCAAGGTGCTTGGTCCAGCCCTCTCCCAGCGCCCTCCACCCAGGTGTGGGTAGCAGTTGTTTGCAATGGCTCCCAGTTGGCTGTCGGATTGGATGGGAGAGAGCTTGAGCTTGGGGAGCCAGGATGCCTGTTTGTGATGAGAGAGCCTGCAGCATCCTTGGTTTTCCATTGAACCGATCATTCCTGCAGATGGGTGTGGAGTGGAGAGGGTGTGAGAACTGGTCCTGGGCTTCTTGACAGGTGTTCAACAGAAGCTATGATACTATAAGCCGCCCCTCCCACCCCCTACCCCCCACAGCACAAGTGCTCACTGGGTCCCAAAGCCTGACCTAACTCAGAGATGCAGAGACCTGGAGGAAATAAACACCCACTCAGTTGGGGGAAGCCTGCTGTCTGTCTTGGAAGCTGCCCCAGTTTGATGAGGAGACAGAATTACATACTCAAGAGAATACTTTGCAAGAAACGCAGCTGTGATATCATTTTCCAGGCACTCTTAGCCCGTCCTCTGAAAGGCAGGAACTGAGTTAACACTTACTCTCGTGTGTTGCCTGACACAGCACTTATAAAGCCCGGGGTTCATGGACAGGCTCGAGCTATGCATTCAGATCGAGGCTTCCCTTCCTTGTGCCTCCAAAGGGAACTTGGGTAGCAGCCTGCTTCACCCTGCACCCCTAAAAAAAATATTCAGCCTTCACCCACTATGGAAAACCTTTCCCGGCAATGAACGTCTGGTATAAAAACAGCCCTTTTTCTACAACGCACATGTTTTCTTATATAACTGCAATAACAATAGTAGCATCAATAAAAGTGTTTTAAATCTTGAAGAGAGAACGGCTCTCTTTAAAAGATGCCATGCCCAAACTTCCTGTCACTCCTCCATGTCTCTCTTCAATTGCCAGGGTTCGCTATAGCTTGCCCCCAAATTTAGCCACAGTCCAGAGCCTGTTCCCCAGCAACGGACGCTCAGAACATTTTTCCTCTGGATACTGTTCCAGCACCAGTTTCCTCCAGCTAATTAGGCTCTTTGTAATAGCCTTAATCGTCTTGTTAGGGGCCCCTGCTGATAATAGCCCGATAGCCAGGAATCCCCAGGTAGAACAAATGAGTGCCGGGGGAATGCCAGCTCACTAACCCTGTGTTCATGCTGACTGGACAGCAGGGATCTTAGAGAGGAAACGGAGGGGAGGATTTGCAGCAGCCCCCGGCCTTGGTTTTGCATTTGATCCTGGACTTGGTCCAAGATGCATAATCTAAGAAGGGCTGGCTTGAAAACCTTGTCTGAGAATGAGGAGAGTGCTGCTATCTGACAGAGACTGCAGGAAGAGAGATGCCTGAGCCTTTCCTTGACGATTACAGACAGAATTTCGGGGGCAGGGAGTGGAAGACCAAAGTTGCCAGCCGCCAGGAGTAAGGCTGGATTTATTCGTACACAGCACAGGGTACGCTGCCAAGGCCTGGCCGTCTTCATGAGTGCCACTAAGGCCTGGATCAGCAGGGGACAGCGTGCGTCCCGTAGCTGCAGGCTGACTAGGAGTCTGCTCTCCAAGTGGCCAGTTAAGATCTAAAACATGTACTGTGCACCTGCTTAGCAGCAAACACTGTCAGTCCCAAAGTGTCCCAATCCCCACATCACAGGAAAGGAAACTGAGACTCAGAGAAGTTATATAAACTTGCCTGGGGCCACAGGAGGTCTAAGTGGCAGAAGCAGGTTCCCGGCACATGGTCTCCTGATTAAAGTCACCCTTTTTGATCACAGCACAGTGACATTGGGGAGAGCACATTCACATGCCGTTTCTATATGTACCAGGCTTTAACCTGGAATTCAGTCCAGGAGCCCAGGGGTGAATGCTCAGCCCAGTGGGAATCTCATGATCAGGGTGCAGGGAAGATGGAGAATTCACAACAACCAGAAGGAGGCCAACTTTTATGCAAACCAGCCACAGTGATTGAGTCCTCCGTGGACCCCCAGAAATAGGGCTCCCCTTAGAAATAGGCCTTATGTCTTGCTCCAAATAGCCCAGTACCATTTTCTATGGCCATCTACATATCCTGCTTTCTCTTCTGTGGAGGGAAAAGATGAATATGAAGTTTAGCCAGCAAGGCCGGTGCCCCGGCCCAGCTAGGCAGGGCCTCTTCCTCGTTGGTCTGCAGCTCTGTCAGGAACTGGGCCCACTCACCTCTCCAGCCTCTGCTGTTCTCCCTCTGCCGGAACCCGTAGTTGAACCATATTGGATCCCTGCTCACCCCTTGAACACCTCCATTTCGTCAGCTGTAAAATGGGTAACACCCCATCTTACAGGGTTGTTGGTAGAACCAAATGACTAATATCTGTGAAGTACTTAGAACCTGACACATAGTAAGCATTTACAAATGTTGTTTTTTCCCCCCAGGGCAGTGTTTTGCATGTAGTACACACCTAATATCTGTTGGATGAATGAAAGGAAGGAAGGGAGGGAGGAAAGAAGGAAAGATTGGATGGAAGGATGGAAAGAAAGAAGGGAGGGAGAGAGGGAGGGAGGGTGGGAGGGAAGCATGCATCCTCTCACTGCTCGCCTCTGACTTTGCACACATACTTCCTTTCCCCAGAATTCCCTTCCACCTCCTTCTTACCCAACTTGCTTCTGTGTCCTTGAAAACTCAACTCAGGTGTTTTCTCTACCTGGAAGCCTTCCCAGCTGCCCTAGTCCTAACCTGAGTGGTGTTCCTCCTTCCTGCCCCATTGGCATCTGACCTCTCCCTTCATCATCATGAATGCAGTGGTGGCATACTGGTTTGTCTCCCCACTAGACTGAGCATCTTGAGGTGGAGATGGCTGAACCCACCGCATTTTAAGGAGTGCTTGCTACATGAATGCTTGCACTCATGAACATCATCATGATGTAAAAACTGTAGCTGAAATTGGCTGAATGCTCACTGTTTTCCAAGCTAGACACTTTGTTCGTTATCTTGAACCTTCACAAAAATCCTAAGAGGTGGGGGCAATCAGAATTATTCCCATTTGTAGATAACAAAACTGAGTCTTAGGTTCAGTAATATGTCAGGGTCAAGGCCATAGCTGAAATTTGAACCGAGGCGTAAGGGCTGCTAACCATTGTACTACACTGGCTTTTTGTTCAGAAGGGAGTTTGATGGGTGTTATATCGTTGACTGAACAGTTATATTTTGTAACTTAGCCACTCAAGTGAGGAGACCTGTGAAGCTGGAATCAGCAAAGTGGTGAGAAATGTGGGCTCTTCTTATGAAGTTTTTGTTTTGTTGTAGGTTCGGACAAGTGGACTTCCCTAGAAAGAAAACTGTTTAATAAAGCACTAGCCACTTACAGCAAAGACTTTATTTTTGTACAGAAGATGGTAAGCATGCTTTTTCCCATTGCTCACTTGAAACTGAATTGGGGAAATTGTACACCTAGAGATATATTTGGTTATTGTCTTAATGCTCTCACCAAAAGGATGCCATGTCCCCTGTCCCCCCCACCCACCGCTGGTGAAGGATGGCATTTGTTTTATGGGGTGGCATGGCTCTGGTGTCAGGGATATGGGGGAAAGGAAGACACAGATTATTTGGACATGGCAGTGATGGGGGTTATTTTTATCTTAGTAAAAATGTGTACTTTATGAATTCTATCAGAATAAATAGAGCTGGGGGCTTTTGGGTCACAGTTTACATAGTTTATTTCATGTATATTTGATGATCTACCATGTTTCTGACAGAATATTTTTGAGAAATTAAAGAGGAGAGGATATGTGCCCTCCCCCTAGCCATTAGCAGTTTCTGGTGTTGGGCCCCTAATCATAATGACAGTGATAATAAAAATAATACTTTACGTGTACAGCATTTTACAACAAAATAGAACTCTTTTGCATAGATGAAACAACACTTGATACAGCAGATAATAAACTTAATAAGCCTTCGTTGGCTGAGAGGAGGTTGAAGCTAAAAGTTAAAAAGATTCAAAGAGTGTTTCAGCAGTCTGATAAATGTTGGAGCCATATTGTATTGTTAAGTTCATTAACATGTTCAGGTCCACAGAGAACAGGGTCACAGGTAACAGCTTCCATTGGCTCTAGGCTGGGCCGATGGTCCCCACTGGTGTCCTGGGTACATACATGTCTGCTGTCCTTAACCTAGGGCCTTGATGAATGAGAATCAGAATAAGTGGACTTTCTCTCCAGCTTGCCTTCCTCTCCAATCAAGCTATGTTCACTCTTGCCTTTCCCTGCCTGGGAGGCCACCACATTCTTTGCCCAGCAGCTCCTATGCTCTGCTATTTCTTGAATCACCTTTCCCAGGACTGACCTGTCCTAGGCCTCATTCCTTGAAGGCCTCACACCTTGCTGATTATTGATAGATTCATGTATAATGCTTGCCAGGCAACGCAGGTTTTTAAGCAAGGGCTCTCTGGAACATTATCCTCACTCCCTAGGCGATTCCTGTGTAGAAATCAGGTGGATATGAAGGGAAGAATTTTGGGGAGACAGGACTTCTGGGGGTTCCCTTCCCATCTCACCATGCAGTGGGCCATGTTCCCACCCCCCAGCCTTTACCTACCTCCAGAAAACCCACATTATTGAACCCCAGTTTGAGCTCAGAGATAAATGAGCTAAACAAAGAAATTTTTCTCTTTAAAATACATTTACCTTTTCCCATTTGGGGGGAGAACAGAGCAAGGCTTATTTCCTGCAGAAACTGAGCTCTTGCCATTATAACTTTTGCCTCATGTTCCTGTTCAATTACTAAGGAACATTTTTCGTAAGTAGATTTTGAAGGTCAACAAGGCAGAGAACCAAACACATTCAAGCATGTTTAGTGAAAAAGCATGCTGCTTTATAGGTTAAAATAAGGAATAAGCTCTCTGTGGACTGACATGAGAAAATCCCCAGGCTATAGAGTGAAAAAATCAAGTGGCAAAACTATATTTTGTGAGGAAAATGATGGGTAAGAAATATATTTCTGTGTTTTGTTCATATATGCATAAAGAAATTCTGAAATGATATCCAAGAAATTAATAAGAGGGGCCACCTGTGTTGCAGGGGTGGGGAGAGTAACAAGTGGATGGATGGAGAACAGACGTGGGAAGGAGATTTTTCACTATAAATATACAGAGGGTGCCAAAAAAATGTACACACATTTTAAGAAAGGAAAAAACCTGTATTAATTGTAATACTCAATATGTACTGATAACAAAAGATGAATGCAAGTCACGTTTGACTTCTGCAATTACAAGCAGCGCTCAAAGTGGTTACCATGAGCATCCAGACACTTCTGATTACGGCGAACTACTGCTTGAGCATAGATGACATCTCTTAAAATGTGTATACATTTTTTTTGGCACCCCCGGTATATATTTTTTAATTGAACTGCGTAAACCTATTATCTATTACGAAATTAAATTTTCACAAAAGCTTGCTGCTGTGCACCCTGCGCACTGCTGGAGCTGATCCTGAGGTGGCTTTCTCGGCAGGTGAAGTCTAAGACCGTGGCTCAGTGTGTGGAGTACTACTACACATGGAAAAAAATTATGCGGCTAGGGCGGAAGCACCGAACACGCCTCGCGGAAATCATCGATGATTGTGTGGTGAGTGAAGCCGCTGAGTCGCTGCTTATTCTGGCCCCACTCCCACCCCACACTCAGGTTAGTAAGTGGCTGGTGTTTGGTTTGGCTTTGCTGCCGAGGTGGCTGCATTGAGTGGGTGACAGGCCGGCTCCCTGCTGGGATTCAGGCCTTGTCTTTCCTGTTGTAGAGAGGTCGAGGAAAGGCGGCTTCGCGTTTGACCTGGGGCTCAGCATTCAGTTAAGGAGGTGAGGTAGGAACTAGCGGGTTAAGCCAGGGTGGTCCCAGCCTTGGGTGGTTGTCTTATAAATAAGCAGGTGCCCTGGACCCCTGGCATATCCCTAACTAGAGAACATAACGTGCCTCCGAAAGATGAAGGGGCCCTCAGCTTTGACCACAGCTCTCATAAAGCGTTCCATAGTGCCAGGAATTCTCGATGATTGAGGACCTGGTGAGCAGTGTGTATGTGACCATTCTAATGCTCACATCATTTATCCCCGATACTAATTCCCTTCATTAGTAGGCCATCAAAATTGTCTGCATATTAAGATTAAATACATACTAAAGACATAAGCTCAAAATCATCTCTGAACCCCTGATGTCTGCCTTTGGTAATTGATACTACTTTCATCCTTGTGAACTCGCCTCTCTGCATCCGTAGCCAGGGGAAATCACCTTCTCACCCATTGTGGAAGACATTACCTACCATGTATGTGTGTGTAAAAGTTACATGTCTTAAGTTACTACACCCCAGTCTCTGTCATCATCAGGGAATGTGTTTGGAATTCATGAATGGTGTGAACATTGGTAATTATACTTCCATTCCCAGTAGTGCCCCAGTTAGTGTAAGTGATAGCAGGTGTGTGGATTATTTTCTTGAACAGACATTTACGTAGCACTTTCTATGTGCCAGGCACTTTACACATATTGACTCATTTCATCCTCACACCAGTTCTGTGAAGTAAGAAACTGAGGCACAGAGTAACTTAGCCATGGTCAGTGGCTGGTGAGTGTGTTATCTGAGCCTGATTCCCTTGTATAATACTTAAGAGAAGTCAAATGCAAATTCTCTTGTTGTGGGTTTTTTGTTTTTTTTTAAGCTGAGCCATCCTGCCACCTGTTGGCAGCTCAGCGGCTGCTCAGCTCGGGCCGGGACTCGAACCGCTGTTACTCAGAGCTCAAACTCGTGAGCGAGCTCGCAAATTCTCTTAAAGAAGGCTAATAAACCCTTGGACTCATTAATACTTTAAAGCCCAAGTAAGCCCAGCTATGAAATATATACGCATATATAAATTTATGTTTGATCTCAAATATCAGAGAAAGTAGGTATCTATGGTATAGAATAGAATTGCCTTTTTTTTTTCATCAGAGAAGGCCATATTCTGTATTGAGGGTTTCCTGTGACCAGGGCTTTTGTTTGACTGCTTTAAGTAGTGATGTCTTGTATCAGAATAGCCTTTTGTTCATCTGTGGCCTAATGTTTAAAAAAGCAATATGGCCTCATCAGGTTCAAACAGCTAAAACCAACTGAGTCCCCACAATTTAGACAGCAGTATGTCTGTAGCACAGTGAGTGAACCAGGGATGTTAACTGGCCTCTGTTCCTATCCACCCCTCAGTAGAGTATAAGAGTATATTCCAGTTGGGAAGATGTGACATCCACAAGTGGAAAGTTTACCATGAACTCTAAGAGTGTTTAAGAGCAATATGAGATGGAAACCAGAAAGTCTTAGGCTCACTCCCTTGTCCAACTCCACCATTCCACAGGCAGACGGTTGAGACCCAGAGAGGGTAAGGGGGCTTGCCCCAGCTCACACAGAGTGCTGGTTCCCAAATAAATGAGTCGAATCGACAGTAACCAAGGAAGCCCAAAGAATCCTGGCCTGAGGGACTTAGGACCTGGCTGCTAGGTTTGCTGAACTTTAAAATGAGGCACATGACGTAGATGATTTGGAAAGACCCTGCCAGTTCTGGAATGTTCTGGGCTCTGTCTGAGCCATGTTTTGGAAGAGGGCAAAGTCAGAGGATATGGTTTCCTAAGGCAAATTGGTATCTCTTCTGCTTGGGTGTTGCCAAGTGCCTAGGACAGCGTCTGGCATAACAGGGGCACTCAGCAAATGTCTGTTGAATGAATGAGTACACATTTTTCCGAGGTTCAGAGCCACATCCCTGTATAAACTCATTGGAGGGAGATGGCGTGAAGAAGGGGACTCTGAGCAGGGGAGTGCTGCTAAGGAAGATGTTAGCACGCATGGCAGAGGCACCATCTTGGGCCAACACGGCTTAGCAGGGAGATAGAAAGGCCCAGGCCAGCGTGTACTTCAGACTGAGGAGGAAACGTTAAGACGGCGCCCTAGGCGCCACGCCTTCTTGTGCATATTCACCAGGAGCCAGTATTAGCCTGGGTCAGGAGCATCCACACCCCTGGGACCTGTGAGCTGAGGGAGAACACAAAGGAATGTGCAGAGACGACTCAGGCCCACAAAAACAAGAAACGCTTCATGTAAGGCTGGCGTGGTAGCTTGCAGCTCACTTTGGGGCACTGGGAAGGCATAGTCAGCCTTCATCTCTAGTCCACCAGGTAGAGATGAAAAGCTGGGACCAGGCAAGGACTGTAGAGGGTGCAGAAAATGCTGTCCTAGGACAGGGGTCCTGCTCTTGGTCCTCTAAGCCTTTCTGGGGCACCTGGGGTGGTTCTCCTGATATGCGTCTTCGGTGTTTTATTAAAGAAACAGGTGACCATTTCCCCCCAGATGGGACATTCTCAGGTAGCTTAAGGACGTTCGTGGGCAGTGGGAAGAGAGAGAGAGAGTTTGTGAGAAATGATTGCTCTTTAGGGAGCCGAAAGGTCAACAAACCACAACTGTTCGCTCAGCAGGCTAGTTTGACTTCTGGCCTAAAGCCCTCACAGGCCCTTCCACGCTTGCAGGCAGAAGAAGGTGGCCAGGGTGGGCTTCTGTTAAAGAGATGGGAGAACAGGATGCTGACCACATCTTGTCCCCTGCCCGTGCTCATGACGCCACTCAGGACAAATCGGTGGGTCTGGTTGTGACCAAAATTCAGCACAATTCAAGGAACCAACTGACACAGCTAACCGACTTGGGGAGACAGCGATCCAGGCTCCAAAGGCAAAGCTCACCCCCAGTCTAAGCACCTTAGGTACTTAAATCATGGCCCACTGACATGGCCCACTGACCAGGAGAACATCTTCCTCCCCTTTGACCTTTAAAGGCAGCTAGTTCTAATGGTTCTGAGAGGTTTAGGATCTGTGTCTGAGCTGAAAACCTAAGCCATGTCCAGATGGACACTTGGGCATCTGTGGACATTTGCAGCAGGGCCAAGGAGTGAAGAAGGTAGAGGCGTTGGAATCAGATAGCCCAGGTTTTAAATCTCAGTTCAACTTTTTGACCAGCCAAGTGACCTTAGGAAAATTAGTTCTCTGACCAATTTTCCTCATTTGTTTAAAAAAGAAAAATGCGTACAGAATCGTTGAGAGGACTAGGAATGTGTGTATGTAGCGCCTGACTCACAGCAGGTATTCAGCGTGTTGTCTTCACCATTGTTAGTGACTGTAACACTCACGTTTGTCTTGGAGTAAATTTGAGTCATTGAATGTTTGTGGTTTAACTTACAAATTTCTCATAATGCAAATTCCATGTGCATGTCTGAGAAATAAAAATCTCCTCAAGAAACTCTTGAAATTTATATAATATTAATGTCACCCCAATAAATTTAATTTTGTTTAAAAAAAAAAAAGAAACTTATTGTGGACACTCAAGGTTTTGAGGACTATGTTAACATACAACCACCTCCCTGGCTTGTATCTGCCCACCTTCTACCAGTTTTGGGATATTACTCAATGTTTCATTTCACAATACATCATAAAATGGCTAACTTGTTGATACAGAGTTCTACGTGTTAGGGTTTTTGTCCTCCTATCTTTGTGTATCTTAGTCACTTTGGTGAGCCATTTGACTTGATGATAAATCATGTTGTGAACATGTATTGATCACCAGTTGAAATAAAACCTAATCTAAATTCCTGAGACGTATATAATGACAGTACAGTATAATTGAATCTGTACTTTTGTGGCTAGATGGAACATTTCTTCTAAGAGTTCTTAAGCCAAAAAATGACATTGTGAGAAAATTGTAATTATAACATGTACCATAAAAATAACGCCATTGTCATTTAAAGTTATTACACAATTTATTTTACATGCCAAGTTTTGGGCCCTGGGCTGCTTAATAAACTGATATTTGAGGCCAAAAAGTTCCAGTTCTGTAAAGGAATAGCGTGAACCCTGGGAGTTTGGCACAATGTAATTTTACCTGGAACTCTTGAGTTTGGAAAATGGTGGATTCCTATGGGAATAAGACTACTTAAGTGAAATCAACTTGTATGTTTCTATATTAGTAAGACACCTACAGCTTATATCATAAATCACTGTAAATGTCTTAAGCCTTCATCTAGTCATTGAAGTCTTTCAGCAAATGTAGTTATTACTAATTAATCCTAATTAACTCATTGGAAACTGGGATCGTTTCTTAAATACACCCTGTTACTACCTCATCTCAAATGTGTATATATGATATTAAATACAGACACTACTGAACCAGGGAGTGAGGTGCTAGATGCCCCGTGTTATACGGGCATTGTCTTTCCCCCCCAACCCCAATCCAAAGTGGGGAGAGAAAGCTTGTGGTTCCGGATCCTAGGGTACCACTACTCTTAGAAATCTTCATTCTTGGAAATTCTTGGTTCTGGGCTCTAAGAATCATAGGTTCACCTAAAGAGACATCGCTGTCTGGGGTGTAAACCAGACTAGAGCCCACATGCTCTACGCAGTGGTTGTGCAAAGAGTGTGTCAGAAAACAAATGACCTTCAGGGTTAGAGGCAGCTGGGCATACCTTTTGTTTCCTCGTTTGTAAAATGAGAGGACTGTTTACAGCCTACTCAGTGACATAGCAAATGTGAAAGCATTTTGTCAACTGTAAAACAGAAGATGAAATGAGGCTGATGTAACAGAATTCCTTTCCCCTGGTCCGCAGTCCTTTCTGGGCCTGCAGGAGCCAGCATCCCTCACCACCACCATCCCCGCTGAGGACAGAGAGCCCAGAAGAATGTTGTTAGTTAAGCAGCTGGTAGAATGTGGGCCTCCTAGATCCCTGCCCTCCATCCCAACCCACCCCGGGTATCTACTCCTCGCTGATCCATTAACTGACTTATCTTGTCAGCCTTGAGGAAGGCGGGGCCCGTCTGCTTAATTCTGCACCTGGTTGCCATTCTGAAGTAAAAAGAAGGGACACACCATCAGAGAGGATAATGATCCACAGGAAATATTTTTCTGTCACCCCAATAAGCTTTAATTTTTTTAAAACATTACTAATTACACAGAGATTTTTCCAACATTTCTCAACTAAATAAATCACATTTTCTTTGCCGGAAATTGGTCACGTGGTATGAGTCTGACCCATCATTGCAGAGTCCCGCCATCCATCTCTGCACGCCAGTCTCCTGGACGGTTTACCTACATTCTTTCATTTGCCCTCCCCTTCCCCCCCCCCCCCCCCCCCAAAAAATATTTTTTTTTCTGGTTCTTCATAGTATGCCTCTGGAAGGCATTTCTCCAAGCCCATGATCAGAGACCAGGAAAAAAAAAAAAGGACATGATAAATAAAAGGGATGGAATACCCCCTTCCATTTTCACCCCTTTTCAAAATCACTGTGGTTCATTCTCTGATTTTCTGTTCTGACGAGAGCAGAGCAGGGGTGTATCAGAATACCGTGTGTCGTGTGCCTTCCACAGATCAAATCAACATCTCAGGTGTCTTGCATGGAAGTGTGTTAGAAGGCCTATAAAACAATTCAGGATAGGTCTTTAGTCTCTCTCCAGAGGGTCCCACAGTATTGTTATAGCTTGAAAACCCTCCTCACTGAGCAGGGCAGATAGACACAGATGGGGCGGCCTGCCTGGGTGTTGGTCAGTTTCAAGGTCTGGTCTGCTGATCTCAAACAAGGGGGAGAAACTCTACATACAGAAATCTCTCCTCCCTGCCTTAAGATATTTTTGTATAAATAATGGGACCCAGAGGGGGACAGGGGGACTTCCTTGACCTCAGAATTCCAAGCGTCAATGACCAACCTTGAAGAGACTGTTTCCCTCCCCAGAGGGTTCTGTCAGCCATTCCTTATGTAGAAAGAAATCGACATGGCCCCAGTGTCAGCCCCTCTCCCCTCTCCGGGCCTGTGGGTTCTGTTCGTCACTAAAAATGCCATTTGGGGACTTTCCCCCTTTTGCTTTTATTGCCTTAACACTAGACAAGTGAAGAAGAAGAAGAGTTAGAGGAGGAGGAGGAGGACCCGGAAGAAGATAGGAAATCCACAAGAGAAGAGGAGAGTGAAGTGCCGAAGTCCCCAGAGCCACAGCCAGGCCCAGTCCTGGCTCCCGCAGAGGGGCCACCCCTGCAGGCCCTTGGCCAGCCCTCAGGCTCCTTCATCTGTGAAATGCCCAACTGTGGGGCTGTAAGTGTCTCTGCGTCCTCCGTCCTCCGGGGATCTGGGACTAGTGAGGGCCAGACGTATGGCTGTGCCTGGCCTTGTACGAGATGATGCGCCCTTTAGAAAGGGTGCACTTTCTGCAGGAAAGGTTTGGCAGAGGGAATTCCACTTTGTGATATTCTTTCTTTCGTCCCATTGACTCACTCATTAGGCCAGCAGCTATTTCTGGAGTGTTGTGTTTTGTGTCAAGCACTGTGCTGCATGCTCAGAGGACAAGAAATAGGTCCCTGCCCTCAGGAAGCGTGTGGTTCACAGCTGTTCAGTGCTGGTGCCCATGGCTCTGCAGTGAGCCTTGGCTTCCAGAAGTTAACACTCTCCATTTCCTGGTGCCTCTCCGCTCCTCCGGGCTGTGTGTCACAACAGGTCATGCCCGGGTGATTTAAATACACTGGGAGAGCCCACAGAGGATTGTCCTTTGTTTTGTAACATAATTACAGAGATTTAGCTCAACTTTCTTTGTATTCTTTAGGGGAAACAAAAAAGATTTAGTAGGCAAACTAATCATGTAAACAGGATGAAATGGGAGTCTGTGTAATTACTTAGCCTAGTATTTTTCAAGCACCATAGCAGCATCTTTTAGCGAAAATAAAACCAGTTCGCCATTTGTTCATTCTTAGCACTAAAAGAAGGCCTTACAGCATCTGTACTGGCCTAGTCCAAGGCTTCCCATGTATTTTAAAGGATATTTTTTAAAAGCTGTCTACTTTGGACTCTCAGTCCCCCACTGGTCTTCCACTAGTCTGAATTATTGAAATTTTCCAAAGCAGATTTCTTGAAGCCAGGCACACCTGTGCAGACACTTTCTAGAGGTATTAACTCAAAAAATGAAAAGTTTGCTTCTTTCACAAGAATCCCTGTTTTCCTCAGATTAGCACTTAGCTTTGTACATTATATAGAACAATATTGTTTTCCAGAGTGTACTAAATGCTGCTTATTGAATCAGTCACTTAGATGAAGAAAACAAGTGCACATAACACCAAGGTTGCTGTTTCGATTCCCACATGGGCCACTGAGAGGCACCCTCCACAACTAGATTGAAACAGTTGCTCCCTCCACAACTAGATTGAAACAATTGCTCACTCAGATCTGATGGGTTCTTGAAAAACACGCTGTTTCCCAATATTAAAACAAACAAAACAGATCCTACAGCAGAAATTCGCTTGATTTACAGTTAAGAAAAAATGAAAAGGTTTTGGGGAAAAAAACAAACGTATACATTTTGCATTATCTTTGAATAAACATAAGAAATTGCCAGCTTGTTTCCATCTTTGATGTTTAATGACCCGAATGCTTCTCACTCCGTCACTGCCATTCTGTATAGAGCTTCCGTTTAGGGATAATTAAGATGTGACTTTACATGAGAGAACTTCTTGGTGAATTTGTTTAGAAGTTGGATGCTTCCTCAATTCGTAGTTTTAAATGTACAGAAAATTCTCGTCTAAGATGTCATCTTTTACTTTTCCCAATCAGAAGGGCTCAGCAAATACTTTTTAATGACCTTTTCAAATCACGGGAAAAAAGCATGTTAGTTTTAATCCTTGACTAACCATGGAAGTTTGGGTTGCTTAAATTAGCAATAGGGTTTTTTTTTCCCCTGTAAGACCATAAACAGAGCTCATAAACTTGACACAGAGTAGAGTAACCACCTGCAGCTGGGCAGCTGGGGGTAGGAGTAGGGGAGGATTCCCATTAGCTGATGCACTTAACAAGCTGGGAGTCAGGGCTTTTGGAATTCAGGGATGTAGATGATATCCCTTTACAGCAGTGGTTCTCAACTGAGAATGATTTTGTTTCTCCTGAACATTTCGTAATGTTCAGAGACATTTTTGTCACAACTGGGGAAGTAGGTAGCATCTGGTGGGTAAAAACCAGAGATGCTGCTAAACACTGCACAACAGCCCCCCCACAACAAAGTTATTCCAACCTGAAATGTCAGTAGTATTCAAGTTTGGAAAACCCTGCTTCATGGCAAGCTTTAAAAAATTGTCCAGTTCTTTCCCCTTTTTATCATCCTGTCATAAAATTTGGGGGTCTGAAACCTTGCTTCTGTAATGGGCTACTACTGATTGGGGTGTGGACATAACCTTTAGAAGATGCCAGCAGCCAGTCACCATCTTTCATATTGTGTCTCTTAGGGTTCTACAGCTTCCTGGGGGCGGGGAGCTGAGCAAATAGGCTCGATTCTGGGGTGCTGTCTCTATTTTGACTACAGCACCTCTGCTTTTAACTTTGATCTTTTGAGTAAGACCTGATTTGTTAAATTTTTTTTTAAAAAGTGAAGAAAGAAAGAAGGAAAGGAAAGTGTAAGAGAAAGGAAACTGCTTAAAAGAAGTTTGAAAGCTGGTCCATTTTACAGATGGAAAAAAATAAGGTGGACAGAGGGGCAGTGGCCCAGCAGCCTCCCTATTAGACAGAGGTGCAGGATCTAGCCCCTCAGTCTCCTGCCAGCTTTGGCCTTCACACTGTGCCATGCCACCTCTTGTCTCCTGGTTATAACAACAATGGGGGTTTTTTATTGGCACCGCATTTGTGGTTGTGGTATTTGATCTCTACTTTCTGTAGCATATGCCCAAAGTTTGCTTATGTAAAACCCCTGTGCCCTGTCAATTGTCACTGTTTCAAGTATCACATGTTTTACCATTGAGTAACTAATAACCCTAATTTCCTTTTCAGGACTGTAGATGTCATGTCACTCCCTTTCTTCCCCAGGTGTTCAGCTCCCGACAGGCACTGAACGGCCACGCCCGCATCCATGGTGGCACCAACCAGGTGACCAAAGCTCGGGGTGCTGTCCCCTCTGGGAAGCAGAAGCCTGGCAGTGCCCAGAGCGGGTACTGCTCGGTGAAGAGCTCACCCTCTCATAGCACCACCAGTGGCGAGACAGACCCCACCACCATCTTCCCCTGCAAGGAGTGTGGCAAGTAGGTGGAATTGGACCAGGGACTGGGTCTAAGCTTGTGATGGATAATCGCTCCATTGGAGTCGGGCCAAGATGGTCTGAGGTTTCTTCGGCCAGGGAGAACCCAGACTCTCCAAATTCTTTCTCGTTCTATCCTTGGGGTCTGCATGGGGTCTCAGAGGGGATGCACCTTATCTCTGACTCCGGATATGGTATTTTGATGTCTTAAAACCTAGTAAGGTTTTAAGGACATCTTCAGAGAGCAAACCTCAAGTGACGAAACTTCACTCTTCCACGTATGATAGATGGGACTCTGATTCCCCCTTCCTCTCTGCACACCCAAACCGTATTCACTAGTGTTGCTCTCTTTGCATCCTGCTGAGTTTGAGAATGGCTCTTAAGTCACCGAATCAGGAACTCTCTAGCAGAGATAGCTTTCCTACCACTCCTGCGCATTCCTGCGCCCAGGGAAGAGATCACTAATTAATATCTGCACTCTCTGCTCCCACATTAAGACAAGACTTCAAATCCTTTCCATTGTAATAATTCAAGCTGGCCCAGCCAAGCGATCAGAGTTAACTCATGAGATAAAGCCCATCTGTCATCCCTATCCCTGCTCTTTTAAGTATAATTTAAAACAACAACTAAGAGGGAAAAACTGACAGTGGGTAGTAATAATAACAGCTAACATTTACTGAGCATTTACTTTATAGGCATGAGGTCATTTACTCCTTACACAGAAACTCTGTGTGATGGCAGATACTGTTCTTATCTTTGCTGTACAAGTAAGGAGCGGAAGTTGGGTAAAATGACCTGTCCCAGGTTATACCACCAATAAGAGCAGAGCCGAGATTTGAACCCGGCTGTGTTCAAATGCAGAGCCTGGGCTTCTGACCGCTGCTCCATCCTGTTGGTTTGCATTGTTTATTTACTTCAGGTAGAAACTACCATTGATGGTAAGATGCACATGGTTCCCTTCCACAGCGTCCAGTATAGAATTCCAGTTTACTTCTCAGTGAGTCTCCCAGGCTTGAGGGGCATTACATTGTCATGAGTGACATCCTTTAGGACCCTGACCGAGTCCCTCTTCCCATAATCTCCAGTGCCTCCAACGTGAAGAGAGAAATGTTACCTGGAGAGATGCTGACCAGGTAGCTTCTAACGCCACCAAGAAAACATCCCTAATTGTATGATTGAAGCGAACTGGGATCTCTACTTATAATATGCATTCTCGTGGTATATTTCAGGCAACTTAATATTAGCTGCCATTTATCAGGTACTCACTGTTTTCCTGGTACTGTTTTAAAGGGTTTTACATGCATTGATTAATTTCATCTTTGCAGTAGTCCTGTACAGTAGGTACTTTCAGTAGCTGTGTTTTAAAGCAGAGAAACTGAGGCACAGAAAGGTTAAGCTGCTTGTCACAGTGCACAGCTCAGTAGGGATTCAACCGTGCAGGCTGGCCCCGGGCCCGTGCTCTAAACCCAACTCAGTTCGGTGGCACCCGCCAAAGGGAATTGGAACTAGGGGGCTCTCTTCCCTCTTTGAAGCGCAGAAATGGGGGAGATGGATTTAGGTGTCAGTCCCCTCCTCTCTGCTCTGATATCCTTCAGAGCCAGGATGTGATATCATTTTTATGTCACCATGGAAGAAACGACCCCTGGGTTCATCTTTAAGCTTACTTACCTTAAATAATGAAACTTCCTCAGACTGACTCTTGTTATCGCCCACCTGTTTGCTTTGGGGTTACGGGGGTTGGGAAGTGGGGGGTCCAGGTCTTGCCAGTTTCCTCCAAGGGGAGCCAGCATCTTCTCCTTACTCTGCTCAGTTTGCAAGTCATTATTCCACCAGGTGGAGACAAAGGACATTTTAACAAAAATGAGTATTTCGAGCTTCTGGTTCTTTCAGTGACATCCATTAAATGTTTTTCATGTCTTGTTTTTATGCTGCTTGGGATCTCTTTCTACCGTAACTCCAGTTAAGAATTTATGGAAAACCGAAATATTTCCTGTGGTTTTCCTGACTAGGAATTAACATTAAGTAAATGTTTGCCAAAGGCCTCTTTCAGCTGCTGAAATGCAGTTTTCAGCATGTCCAGTTGTGATTCATCAACTCTGTTTTGATAGTTCTTAGAAATCAGATTTTTTTTCCTTGATGAGCTCAGAAATGAATAGAGTATTTATACCACCCACTCCTCCAAAAACAGGCAGTCTCACATCTGGGCAAACTTTTCCTGAAAAAGGCCCAGCTAGAATATTTTAGTATGCAGGCCATATTATTGTCTTTGTCACAACGACTCAGCTCTGTCATTGTATTGCAAAGGCAGCTATAGACAACACATAAATAAACAGACGTAGCTGTGTTCCAGTAAAACATTATTTATAAAAACAAGCAACAGGCAGGATTTGGCCCATTGACCATCGTTTGCAGACGCTCACCCCAGGGTTTCTCAAACTCAACACTGACATTTCAGGCCTGATAATTTCGTGTTTGGGGAAGAACACCCTCCGCATTGTAGGATGTTGAGAAGCATCCCTGGCCTCTACCCACTAGAGGCCAGACGTACACCTCCACACCCCACCCCCAGTTATGACATTCAAAAATGTCACCAGATATTGCCAGATGTTCCCCGCAGAGGCAAAATCACCCCCAGCTGAGAACCACTGTTTCATTCTAAAGCCAATAGTAGGAAATGATGGTAATAGGATGACCAACAAGAAGGAGTCTCAGTGAAGAGGAGTGGTGGATGCAGCTCAAAAGTGAAGTACAACAAAGACAGAAGAGGGGCCATTGGATTTGGCCACACAGAATTACTGAGTGACCTGGAGAAGAGCACCTGGGCTGAGCTGGAGAGGACAACGGTCCATCTGGCGAGGGTGGAGCAAGGAGGAGCTATACCAAGTGTGTGCAGATCCAAGAGTCCTGCCTGCGGGAGAACAGGGACGGGGCCAGAGGGGGGTGATCGGTTGCTTTACAATGGGAACTACCAGCGCTCGGCAGCATGGGTTGGAGATTCTCAGGTTGATAGAGTGGACTTGGTTAGTGATGGAGAGAAAGGGGAAGCAGCAGAAAGAGAAAGGGCATGTATTCCGGGCCACAGATGGACAGGAAGGCCTTTGGGAGTTTTTCCTCCATTGCCGCAAGAAGGAAGCCTGACACTATAAATGTGTTCCTGTCCCCATCCCCTTTCCTTGTAATGTTTAGAGAGGAGTGAGGAGAGGTGACAAGGTTCCTGGGGGAGGAGACCGTAGGAGTTCAGGAGCCGAGGACTCTTGTCAAAGCCACCCCAAACCATATGTCAGACCCCGCACCTGCTATTCCCTGTAGGATGCCCGGATTTCCAAGAACTCAGATCTCCTTCAAAATTTCACCTGCTTCTTTTTCTTTGTTTTTAGAGTCTTCTTCAAGATTAAAAGCCGGAATGCACACATGAAAACTCACAGGCAGCAGGAGGAACAGCAGAGGCAAAAGGCTCAGAAGGCAGCTTTTGCAGCTGAGATGGCAGCCACAATCGAGAGGACTACGGGGCCTGTGGGGGCCCCGGGGCTGCTGCCCCTGGACCAGCTGGGTCTAATCAAACCCATCAAGGATGTGGACATCCTTGATGACGACGTTGTCCAGCAGTTAGGAGGTGTCATGGAAGAGGCCGAGGTTGTAGACACCGATCTCCTCTTGGATGATCAAGATTCAGTTTTGCTTCAGGGTGACACGGAACTATAAAGCCCTGTTTGTCGCCCAGAGACATCGAAAACTCACGGCCTCCGTCTTCATCCATCAGGAAACCTGGACTGCCTGCTTGTTTTGTAACCATTTTAAACTACCTGTTTAAAAAGTGGTCGTTTTGTTCAGGTTTAGGGAAAAAAATCCAGTTTCTTTCCCTTTTATTTAAAACAAAAATTTGTTTTTGTGGAAGGTTGGGGCAAATGAATAATTGGCACAACTCTATTTAAAAGGTGTGCCAATTCCCGTGAACTATAGTTACTGGTGACCTTAAGAAGAGCAATTGGGCTGAAGTGGAGGGGACAACAGTCCAGCTGGAGAGGGTGGAGGAAGGAGGAAGGAGGAACTGTACCATGGCCTACATTCCTGTGAACGCATTCCTGGCAGGGAAGGAATCTGACTTTTGTGTTCTTTGGTTTTCAGATGTCAACCATCCTGACTGCCTTTTATCCCAAAGCTTACAGTGAGTGAGTGAGCGAGCGAGCGAGCGAAGCAGGCTACCCTCTTCTTGCTGGGGTCTTGGGCCATCCTTTCCCACCAGGAGTTATTTTTTGTTCTGTTCTGACCTCATTTTGTAACTCGCAATGAACTCGGCATCTCTGCTAGGAGACTATGCTAGTGGGTAGCTTTCCAGAGTGCAAAGTAAGCCCTCATATGCCATGCTTGCCTCTAGCACATGCATCATTTGAAGAGTTGACCAAGTGGGAAAATGAATTTTTTCCCTGCCTTGCCTGTCACTCGTTGGCCTGTTTCTAGGAACTGAGTACTGTATAATTTCAGGCTTAATCTCCCCGGCAATGATTTACTAAAGACCTGGTTCATAGAGCAAGTGCGGTATCCTCTCCCATGATCCCTGGGGGCTGGTTGGCTCTGTTGTGGGCTCGCAGAGCTGTGTTTCATTGTGAGCCCCCTGGAGGCCCGTCTGGAGGAAAATAACCCCAGCTATTACGTTGCCAGGGCTGTTTTTGAGGGAGGGTAAGGTTGGTTGAGAGGCACACATTAAGTACCTGGAATGCAAAAAAAGTGTTCTTTTGCCCAAAAACTAAATTGGAAGAGCCCATTCTTTTTTGTAACACTGTTAATGATCAGTGGAGTTGTAAAATGACTCTGCCATTTGGAAGTACTGTGAAACCTCGTTCATCTGTGTTGGACCAAAGTTAACCTTGACGCTAAGCGTGAGGAAAACAGTTTTCTAACAAATTTGATAGCAAATACGCAGTGTGATCAAAAAATACAGTGAATGTTTAAATTTAAAAAAAATTATTACAGTAAAAGACACATTGCCATTAATCCCCCTCAAAATGCTCCCCCTCACTTCAAACACACTTATCCCATCGTTTTGGGCACTTTCTAAACCAGTTCTGGAAGTCCTCTTTTGTGAGTATCTTTAGTTGCACTGTCATGGCTACCTTGATGTTCTGAATTATTTTGACTTTGGGGAAGAACCAGAAGTCGCACGGTGCCAGATCGGGTGAATAAGGTGGATGAGGTCACACTGTAATGTTTTTATTTGACAGAAATTGCCGTATATCAGAAGTGATGTGTGACACAGAGCATTGTCATGATGGAGGATGATTTACGGTACACTTTAAAATACCTTCTCTCAACCATAGCTCACACCCGACTGACTGCACTGAACAAGTTGAAACTTGTCACACACTGTTACCAAGGTTCAACGTGCCACTTCCTGTATTAAAGATTCTACCTTTCTGTTGGATGGCACTTGGCAGCAGCATTCACCATATTGTGATCACAACAGGAAAGCCTCCGTGTCACACATCACTTCTGGTACGGCAATTTCTGTCAAATAAAAACATTACAGTGTGACCTCATCCACCTTATTCACCGGATCTGGCACCATGCGACTTCTGGCTCTTCCCAAATTCAAAATGACCATGAAAGGTAGATGTTTTGTTTGTTTGTTTTAGCTGAGCCATCCTGCCACCTGTTGGCAGCCCAGTGGCAGCTCAGCTCAGGCCAGGAATCGAACCGCTGTTGCTCAGAGCTCACACTCTTGAGCAAGCGCTTAACCAACTGAGGCACTCGGCCGGCCCAAAAGGTAAATGTTTTGAATCGATTCAGGACATCAAGGCAGCCACAACAATGCAACTAAAGACACTCACGAAAGAGGATTTCCAGAGCTGCTTCAGAAAGTGGCAAGAACGATGGGATAAGTGTTTTTGAAGCGAGGGGAAGTATTTTTTTGAGGGGGATTAATGGCAAATAATCTCTCACTGTAGTAAATTTTTTTTTTAGTTAAACATGTCACTATATTGTTTGATCACACCTTCGTACAAGGGAAATAGCATTAAAGCCAACAAAAATGGTTTCAGATACCACTCTAGCTACAATGTTTGCATTCAAACAATGAATGTATTCATTAAAGTCATTTACCAAAGCACTTCTAGAATTTTCCAAGCTATGTAACTCTGCCTCCTCCTGTCCCTGTCATCGGGGATTGCTATTTGTACTTGAAGGTAATAAACCTGTAATCCTTCAAAAATGTCATTTAGCTTAGGCATTTGAGCTGAGTCAGACTGATCTGTCCCACCATTAGGGCAAATGAGTGTGCCCCTTCAGACTGGTACAAGGCTCCAGCACAGAGAGGACCCCCCTGGTGGTCCCCCTTTGGATTTAATACTCTGTGACTTCCAGAGAGGGGGCTTTCCGGCCTTGCCCACGCCAGGTAGGCTGGTTCCGCAGCTCGTGGGTGCCGGGCCACTTTGCTGGCACATAATAGTTTGACATTAGAGAAAATGTCAGCGGAAGCATGAGGATAAGACTCGAGCATCCTTTGTAAGTTTGACTCCGCAAAAGCATTTAGCATATAACTCATGGCCCTCAGCAGCCCCACACAGGGAGTGTTCTCTGAATCTCAGGAAAGCTATGGGCAGAAGATAAATACAAAGGTTCGTTTCATTACTATCATTCTGTTTCCAGAAAAGAGGTCTTGGAGATTCCCTTCATCTTTTCTTTAGGAGAAAAACAAGTTTTAGTTGCTGCCATTTCAGATATTCTCTTGTGTGTTTTTGAGTTCATAACTGCCTGGGCAGTGTGCATCAAGTTCGCAGCAGAGCCGCTGCAGAACCATTCCAACTGTGATGTTGGCCGGTGGCGTCGGTTCCCGTGACTACTTCCCTCTGCTTGTGGATGTCTGAGAGTGATTCTGGAAAGGTTCTGCTATGGGTTCTAGGAAAGCTTATCAGAGGTGCAAACACCCAGAGAAATGTTTATAAAGCAAATGTGTTCGTTCGTTTGGAGACTTGCCCAGCCATTCCAGTTTTAAACATTAAAAATAAACTGAGTTGCCAAGGCAAAAATATAATGCACAATTTAATTTTGATTTTTCAGTATAGCGTAAGCATTTTGTTTTACTTGAAATAACCAAAGAACTCCTCCTTAACGAGACAGTTCAAATTTCTGAATTAGTATTTCTTGACAATATCAACTGAAAGAATTGACTTCATAGTAAAGCATTGTACTTCTTTCTTTTCTGCAATGGTTCTACCTGCATGTATGTGTTGTGTTTTAGCTTCCCCCCACCCCTCCCGACCCCAAAGAACTTTTCTTCCTAAAGGTCAATGTCTTCAACATGGTTACTGTTTACTATCAGATGGTTTTTCATTAGTGAATTTAGATCTCTTTGAGAAAGCTTGTATATAAAAAGTTAACAGATCTATTTTATGGAAAAAACCCATCTTATTTTCAAATATATTTAACTGCTGTTATATTTTATTAGAGGAAGGTTGTAAATATTTTCTAGGAGTTCTATTGTAAAGAAAAGTATTTTTGAAAAAAACTTAATGTAATAAAAATGAAAACGTTTTTAAATATTGGTTGTGATTGCTTCCTGTTCTGGCTTCGTTATGTTCTATTCTCAGCAAATGACTTGCATGCCTTGTCATTTCAGGATGTAATTTATTCAGGTTTGCACTATTATAAGTTGACATCATCATATCTAGTATGTTTAACTGTGTTTTCCCGGAATGCAGGTCCCTTGGTCCATATCAAGAGCACTATGTATAGCATATTCATAATTTTTCTTTTGTAATGTGTGTATTTTTAATAAGGATTTTATGTAACATTTTGGCAAAAAAAGAGGACAGTATTTTCTAGTGAATTTTATAACACATTTTGCTAAAAATGTTTCTTCCTAGGTCAGTTTTTGTTAAGGTGAACCAAAAGTCTTATTTTACCAGGGGTTTAAAAAAAAAGTTCGAAGCTTGAAAGCAAAGTTATATTTAAACATCATATGTAACAAATAAATAAAGATGTTTTATAGACTTGTCCTAAAAAGGTGCATTCCTTAAAAATAAAAACAACTTGGGCATTCTAGGTTGGTTTCCCTGAGTGGTAAGCATTTTTTTTTCTTATTTTAATTATCACAATACTTTTTTTCAGAAAGAGAGCCACGAGAATTTTACTTTAAAGGTTCCAGTCATTAGCCTTCTCAGAAATTTACTACAGTTCCTATAGAGAGGCATTCTTCAAATAGAGATGTAACCAAATAGACATTGTCCTATTTATTTGTGAAAACCTGATTCAATATTGCATTGGCTGCTCTGAAAATAAAATGTTTTCTTTTTGAGTTTCATTTGGTTTTCACATTCCTTATTTCTAGCCACTGAAATGACTTCTCAATGCTGGATAAATGCTAATTTGCCTGTTAATTGGTTTCTGTAGACCCGTTTAGAGATCTGCTAGTCAAATTCAATACTCTTGAAAGTGCCTCCACCCCACCCTGGAGGCCAGGACATAACATTTCTACTACTCAAGCAGTGGATGAGCCACGGGAAGGGGTGGTCTCTAACCATAGTAGTCAACTGGGGCTTAGGGACACTCGTATTCACACAGGTATCTCACAGTGAGCCCTCCACAAAGTCCAGTCCACCATGGTTTGTATACATTGTAGCATTTCCAAATTCTAAAGAGTATGTTTACTTTTTAATGGTCAACAACAAATGTCAAGAAAAACCTGAAATTCCGGACTTCTACAGAATTTCCTTTAAGTGGGACATACCTGTTACGACCTTGATCTTTCAGATTCATTTGTCGTGCTGTTGGTTTTTTTACTTTAATTTTAGCTGTCAATGTTAGACAGCCCTATGTCTATCAAATAAAACAGCTATTCCTCTAGAAGCAGTGTGCATTCAGCCAGTTTTGTAAATTTAAATTCTGCTTCCAGGGGCTCAGATGTCCAATCTGAAGGCTCTCCTGTTACAGTCATTCATTCAGTACCCATGAGCCCTATGTGCCAGGCACTATGCCACAGTGTATTATAAATGAGGGAGCTGAGTGTATAAAGACGGCTATGACATCATTCCTTCCTGCCAAAGAATTTAATTCTTAGAAAGAACATACGGAGCTCTGGAAACTGACCCAATTCCACCATTGGGAAGAACAAAGTTCATGTTTTATTAATATTCTGAACCCCCTCAACACCACTAACACATACCCAACAATTTAAAATAGGTGCTTAGGAGCCAGCCTAGTGGCGCATTGGTTAAGAGCTGTCTTGGGACACCAGAGGGCCCTGGTTTGGATCCCACATATGAGGGCCAGTGACACTGCCCTCTACAGCTAAGATGCTGAACAACAGCTCAACTTGGAGCTGGGCTGCCGTGAGTCGCCGGCGACAGCATAGGCTGCAACCCCTGCTGCAGTGGTTTGCCATAGGCTACCGTGTGTAGCCAGCAGCCAGCGTAAGCAGCCCTCAAGCTGCTGTGAGCAGCTGTCCAGAAGCCGGCGACTGATCTGCCTCGCCCGGGAAGAGTGCAATGATGGTGCCAACTTGGGTCACTGAAGCAATGTCCTCCACAACTAGACTGAAGAACAAAACGACAGCAACTTGTCTGTTCCCCTTCCCCCAATTCCCCAGCGCTGTTCCCATCCCCCAACTCCCCAATACAAATCTTAAAAAAAAAAAAAAAAAGAAATAGGCTGTCTTTTAAAACAGTACTGGTGCAATCAAAATATAACTTAGAAATATTTGATGCACATACTTTTATTTTTCCTGGACTTTTATAAAGCAAGGAGTACTTTCATCAGCTATCCAGAATCATTTGCCCTCCTGTTCAGCTACATTAGGTCAGAGGTTGACATTTTAGGTCATAGGGAAAAGACCTGTAATCAACAGGCCAAGCTTCAGAACACTGTTCTTGCCCACACACCATACCAAAGTCCTGTCCACAGTGCCACTGTTGACAAATCCTGGGTTTGACCTTCACAATGATGCCCACCTTGCCCCCCATTAATTGGACCAGGGTTTTATATCAAGCTACTAGGCCCATAGGCCATTTGGTGACACCTGGCATGGATTAGACCAAATAAAATTCCCACATTTGCATGAATGGAGTATGAATGGAGAAATTCGGTTAGCCAAAGGAAGCAGGCAGCGGCCACTTGCCAGGCAGAGTTCTGAGAAAGCAGAAAACATTTGTAAGCAGAGAGAGCCCATCAACAAAGAGACCATGTTTAGCCTCAGAACATCCAGCCCTTAAGGGTGCTTTGAGCCTACTTTTTTAGTGGCAGGAACAGTTCAGGCCACACATGTCTTTTAAAATAAAAAATAAACACCTTTTCTTGCAGGAGGGTGGGAAAGTGGAGATCTTTAATCCTTGAATCCAAAAGAAACTTAAATAGAACTGGAACTGATCATAGAGTCAGCCCACTGCAGAGGTGGAAAGGCATTGAACAAGAGTCTTGAAGATGGTTATTGGTTCAGCTGTAACTAACCAACCATATGACTTTATTTCATTTCATCTCTGAGCCTCAGTTTCCTCACCAATAAAATTTATGTCTTCTTATGAGGATCGGATTAGGTAATGTAGGTGAAAGTTGTTTGAAAGCTGTGGTGTCACCATCATTGTGGCTGCAGAACCCTCACCCAGCTGAGGCTACTCAAAGAGGGCCAAGGCAGACTAAGGAGGCATCACAGAAGTGCCATATAGAAAGACTGATACAAATTTCAGAAGCTGAACAAAGTTGGAGAGTTGTTGGAAAACCCCACTGGCTGAGAGAGAACAGTCAATTTGGAAGGTCACAACTCAGAGAGGGAGCCTAGTTCTGAAAAGGGCACTGGGCAGCCTGCCAAAGTGAGGCACAGCTGAGCACAGCAGAGATGCACACAGGTAAAGTGTGGTGTTTCCACACTCCGGTGTAGGACCACACTGGGCATCTCTGCCACAGCCCCACATGGACTGAGATCTAGTGAACACAGGCCAAGGGGCAGGAAAACTGCTTTGGGGCCCTAGGTCTTTCATCAATTTGTGTGATATTGGGCAAGTCATTCCACCACTTTTTTTGTTTTCTTGCCTGCAAAACAAGGTAATACCTACCTGTGAGGAGGAAAAAAAAAACAACACCTTACATTTGCACAATTCTTTAGTAGGATACTACAAAATGTCCTCATAAACTTGACCTTAAAATTTTTTTAATCTTAACAATATTGTGAAGGTGAGGTAAAAGCAATTTTATAGTACAAATAATGGGCGACATTTATCTTGCATTATTATATGTGGGGCATTGTATTAAACATTATACATCAGTATCTCATTTAATCCTCATAGCAACTATTTGAAGTAGGAACTATTATTATCATCTCTAGTTTATATATGAGAAAATTGAGGCTCAGGGGAGAAGCAACTTGCCCACAGTCCCTCAGCTAAGTGGTAAATGTGGTTTACAACCCAGATCTCCCAATTATAAGTCCAGAGTTCTCCATTATACTACATTGCATATGTGAAAGCATTTGGAGAAAACAACGCTTAAGAGACTTGCACAAATGGAAGGAAGTTTTATTACAACAAACCCTACTTATAAGCCTTTTAGTTGGAGCTAAATTTTGGTGGATGTTAATAATAAGATACGTTTTGGTTATAATTTTTGGTTTGTGGTACTAGGTGAAGGCAGCCATTGTAAATTCGGAAATATTCGAGTTAACATAAGTAAATGAAAAACTTTGGAAGATCAGTAGAGCAGTGGTGTACAGGATGGCTGGAGTTCAAAAATGCCAACTGGTGTGGGGAAGGTAGGATTAAGGGGCATAACTACAAGGTTATTATTGCAATGAGGTAAGGGGATGGGACGTGGACTCACAAGGAGTGGTAAACTTTTTCTTTTAATGAAACGCGGATTTTGTTAAAATTTTTAAAAATACAGAAATGGAAAAATATCAACCACTAATCCACTACCTAGCGATAACTGCTGTCAATATATCAGTTACATTTTTTTCCAAGCATGTGTTTGTTATGTTTGCCTCCAACAAAATGGTAACCACACAGGACAAACACGATTTGTATTGGAAAACATTGCTGGAACTTGGTAACTAGCTAGGTATGGGCTGAAGGAATTTTATCAAGATCGGGTATCGGGCTGGCAGGCGACCCACGTAAAGCCAGCTGGGTTCTCAACCCCGCCCTCCGAAAGCACGGAATCACATCTCTGTGGTTGTTCCTGCGCCGGAACACAAGAATATACGCTTTCCTTCTGCGGAACGCTATGGTCTGAGGACGCGCTGTGATCCCGGAAGTGATCCTGGCAGGCCGGGACGGCAAGATGGCGGCGCGCGCAGTGCTCCGGGCCGTGTGCGGGCGTCTCTGGCAGGTACTGGGCAGGCTGGGGGAACCAGGCGGGCGGACAGGGACAGTTGCCACAAAGTCTGACTGCCAGCCGTCGTTCTGCCCATCAGGATCCTTCCCCTATGTTTATTCCGTACCTCGGCTCGTTGTTTGCAGGAAAGTAGCAAGAAAGGGCTGGTTTTATATCTAATTCTCTCATGGAATAAAACATAAATTAATGAGTCAGGGCAAAGACAGGAACAAGAAGAATCCTGGAAAGCGAGAGCTGGAAAGGATGTTGAACGTTGCACGTTCTACACCCCTCCTTTCACGTTTGCACAAGAAACCGAGGCGCAGAGAAGACGGGAACCTTGCCTCGCGAAAATTAGGGGCTGAACTGGCTTAAGAGCTTCGCTTCTTCCCACGGAACTAACTTGAGATAACCTCCTCGTATCGGGGTTCTGAGATTTAGATGGGAGTCACTGCAGTCAGAGGAGCGGGTTCAATATCCTGTGCGTGGTTCTTTGGAGGAGAAGCAAAATCTTAAGTGGTTATCAAGTTTTTTGGCCTCGGCACCCCTTTACAGCCTAAAATGGTCGAGGAATCCAGAACTTTTGTTGTTTTGGATTTTAGCTGTCGATGTTTAGCTTATTAGAAAATAGAACTGAGAATCAAAAATACTAATTCATTTAAAATAACACTAATAAACTCGTTACATGTTAAACAGTTAACATTTTTATGGAAAATAAGTTTTCCAAAACAAATTTAGTGAGACGAGTGGCAATGTTTTACGTTTTTTGCAAATCTCTTTACTGTCTGACTTAATAGAAAACAGGTGGACTCTCATGTCTACTTGAGTATTCAATATTACGATATCACAGCCGCTGGAAAACTTCACTGTACACTTGTAAGAGAATAAGAGTGGAAATGTTGCAGTTAACACCTTAGTATTATTGTGAAAATACTTTTTATCTCCAAGCCCCATGAAAGTGACTCAGGCCACCCCCACCCCCACCCCCTCAAGGTCCTCAGATCACACTTTGGGAACAACTGTTCTTAAGAAAAGTGAGATGGTGTTAGTAGGTTGAAATTTTGAACTACTAAAGCACTTAACTCAGACACCCCTCCACCCCTTCAAAAGAAAAAAAACTTAAAAACCACTTAAAGTTGATTTGTTGATTAACAGCGCTTTAACAACTTTTAAAAGCAGAAGTTTATCCTGGGAGAAGATGATTGGGAAGTGTCATATTTAGACCCATGACTGGATTGTTGGGGTTTTGGCACAAATTGGGGGAGGGAATTTTCTCTGTGATTCTGTGTGGAGAGTGGCACTCACCTCTTCCTATTTTGTATTGTGCCTGGTTTCCTTTTTTTCTGTTTACCCCTTTGATCCAAGGGAGAAAATGAAAGTTTGTATTTGCCTCCATCTAGAGCAGTGGTTCTCAACCTTCCTAATGCCGCGACCCCTTAATACAGTTCCTCATGTTGTGGTGACCCCCAACCATAAAATTATTTTCGTTGCTACTCTATAACTGTAATTTTGCTACTGTTATGAATCATAATGTAAATATCTTTTTGTTTTCTGATGGTCTTAGGCGACCCCTGTGAAAGAGCCGTTAGACCTCCAAAGGGGTCGCGACCCACAGGTTGAGAACCGCTGATCTAGAGTGAAAAGAGGAAGGACAGTAAAGCTAAGAATAGACTTTTTTTAACATACTTAAGCGACCCTCAATTGTTTTAATTTTTACTTGTGCTACACTGTTATTCTGATCTTCAAGTTATTTTTAAGGATCCTATCATGCATCCTTTTTCTCAGGTTACACTTCTAAATCTCAGGAAAGTTTGAAGGAAAAGCAGATGGCAAATTACATGTTATATACAGTACCATGTTTCCTACAGCTATTGTAGAAGTTTTGATCCACTAGGGGGAGCTGATAATAAAGGATTTGGAAAAGCCACTGTAGTGGTATAAGATGGATGTAGGTTTTAGTGTATATTTCGATTTATTTATAAGCTAGTTATCCCAGCCAGGCCAAGAAATACATATACTGGAAAAAATTATGAAAATTTTAAAAGAAAGATACTTTAGAATTTTTATACCGATTCTTAATTAAATTATAGTGATACTTTTTCATTGCTCAAAAATATTCAGGCAAAATAAGTATTATATTGAAGAACAATTTAATATGTAAAAAAATAATGGGAAAAATAAGCCACATTTTTTTGATATCCACATATTTAATTTATAGCTGTTATTTTAATGTCAGAATTGTTTTTTTTAAGTTCTTCTAACCTTTAAGATATATAGATTCTATAGTAATTTGAGAGTCCTTGTTGCTTATCAACTCTACTAGTGCCCTCTTTTTATAAAATAAAATCTAATTTGGCATTTTAGTTACCCCAATATCTAAAATAACGAGTTAGCCCTTTATTTGAATCATTGTACATCGTTTGATTTTTTTGGAAACTGAATATTTGGGGATTGACTTTAATTCTAACACATTTCTTTTTTTTTTTTTAAGAGTTCGAGGAATTTTTCTGTAGAAAGTTCTAAGAGCAGCACAACCAAAAATGGTGGCTTTCTTCTGTAAGTATTATGTATTGGACTTGCTAAATTGAACAAGAGAATGGGCTGTTGTGCTGTTTTACTTAGGTTTCTCTTTTTTCTTTTTCCCACGCACAGCAGTACCAATATGAAGTGGGTACAGTTTTCAAACCTACACGTTGATGTTCCCAAGGATTTGACCAAGCCTACAGTATGTACTCCCTATTTCCTGACATAAGAAACTACATTAGCAACAAATTTTCCTCATTATTTCATTTGGAGTTGTTTCCCAAATACTTTATGGCTAAAACATATTTTGTTCTGGAATATTAGCAAATGCACAGTGTGCCTGAGTAAAGTATTCTCTGATATCCCTGGGCATTCATGTTTTCTTCTAGGACATCAAAGTAAGTTCTAAAGGAATAAATTTTTCACCGCACGTAACTGTGCGAATGAATAGTCTTTTGCTTTTAACTCAGCCTAATGTGACGAGTCGTCATAATTAGTGATACTTGATATGTTGTAAAAAAGAATTTTTTTCTTATAGCCGTCAGGTCTTTGTTTTCATTTTAAGACATTGAGTCTGGGCCTAGACAATGCTTTATTGTTCATAGTGAGAAAGAACATTAGCACAAGTAAAGAAAACCCAGAAGTAGCTGTGTAACCTTGTTTCATTTAAGTAAAAGCCATGATTTCATTAACCCAGTTTTTGTGTTATTTGTAATTTACAGAAAAAACCTTACAAATTTCAAATCTTTCCAGTTCCACCTTTCAAAAATAACCGCTTTTAACAGTTTGGTATGAATCTTTCAAGTCATTTGCATGTCATCATTATATCTTTGCACATGCACACCAGAATGGAATTGTATTATACATAATATACTGCTGGATATTACTGGATGTATTTCCATGACAATACATATATACTCTGGGTCTCCAGCTCAGATGCCTGCGTGGGCCAGGCCTGCAGGAAAGGTGACAAGATGGGTGCAGTGGAAGGCTGTGCCCTTGATAAGCAAGACAGTTGCTACTTTAGTCACTTGTTGCCATGTGGGAAATCAGACTTAGGCCAGATTGTCTAAATTTTCTAGGCTAAACTTAAATCCAAATTTTAATGTGAAATCTGATTTTTATTATTTGCAACAAATTTAAAATATCTTTAAAACACCACAGAACACATTTTAAGGCTGTATCACCTCCTTCCCTTGTTCCCCAATTTGTGAGATAGTTTATCAGTATATTCTGTTCTTCCACCAAACCCTATTTGGGGTAATTGAGAGTGAATGTCTAGCTTCCTGGTTAGTAAGTAGAACTCCTTTCGGGCAAAGTAATTAACCCTGCATCATTGGATTGGTAATATAAATTACTGGTTTAATGGATGATGAAGTGAAGGTAATTCACCTCTTGGAAGAAAGTCAGAAATGTCAAACCATTGTTTCTAAGATTTTAAGTATTAGAGTAGAAGAGGTAGAAGTTAAGGTACAGTCAGTGTCAAATGTTTTAATTAGAAATTAGTAGTTTTGTGTTATGGCAGACAAAACACATGAATAAAACCTAATAAAAATATGAATAACAATTGCTCACCTTTATATAACAATGTTTTATCCTTTATAAGCACTTTAATTTGTGTTTTCTTACTTATTCCCTAAAGAAATGCTGTGAGCTATAGCCTCGGCATTCTATTTTCTGTATGAGAAAACTAAAGTGCAGGGAGATTATATGACCTGCCCATTGTCATTCAGTAGAAGTAGCAGAGTTTCATTCTCAGCGCAGGCCTTCTGACCAGCCACTTTTGTTAACAGACCCAGAAATCCTTTCCCATTGTGAATTTGGGGCTCAATAACTATTAAGTTAGAAGGTTCCATTAGCAATTTTGTAGGTTGCCTTGAAAGTCCTTTTGATTTAAACTGTATGTTAACAGATTCTAAAGGTTATTGTGCAGATCTGAATGTGATAGTATCCAAATACTTAAGCTAACAGTGTCAAGATATTACTTACCATTTTTCTCCCCATTTATTACTAAACTCTTAAATTGCCGAATTGAGGGTAGTATGTTAAATGTTCTAGTTGTAAATATTAGGAGAACCATGATTGAAACTTTTCTTTTTGATTTTAAAATTGTAGATAACCATTTCTGATGAACCAGACACGTTATATAAGCGCCTGTCAGTTTTAGTAAAAGGCCACGATAAGGCTGTATTGGACAGTTACGAGTATTTTGCCGTGCTTGCTGCTAAAGAACTCGGTATCTCTATTAAAGTGTAAGTATGACCTTTTCTAATCTGACCTGTCAGCTGCTGTACCATGATCTTCTGGGAAAATGGTGCTGTTCCCAGCTAGGTCTGAGTTCTTAAAACAGGATAGAACTCCTGATAGGCAGGCAGAGTGTAGGTTTGTCATATTATCCTTCCTGTCTGCTAGAATGCTTTAAGTACTAGAATGAATCACCCAGGAATATGAAGATCATCTTTTCTCTCCAAATTGCATAGACATAAGGAGACCCAAGAAGCCCTTACGTCTGGGATGTCCGTGGGGCAGGAAGGCAGATGCAATCCTTTTAGATCCTTTGGATTTGATGATCTTTGGCTGATATATTTATTGTTTCAAAACTGCCCTAAGTAACACTGCTCACCCAGTGATTTCATGCCTGAGCAAGGTGAGCTTCATATGACCCTGAGGTCACTGCAGGGTCAAATATAACTACCTCCTTTATCATGTCACCTACTCCTGATGTAGAACAAGGCCCTTTTGGGGCTTTGCCCGTCTTGCCTTTTGACAAAAGACGAGTAGAAGGAACTCACATTTCCCATAACAGACTGTCGTTTTGTGATTATTGATGTATCTGTAGATTTTCCTAAAATACACATACAGCAGACGTTACAACCGTGTCCATCACAGTGGAGCTACTCCTCACAGTTCATATGTTTGGTCAATAAGGGACTTCAAGGGCGTAAGAGCTGGAGGGGGTGTGTGTGTGTGTTTGCATGCCAAGGCTCAATTTTGGGTCCATGGAAAAAATTTTTCTGTTGCTGTCTGAGGTGTGTATTTTGGCTTTATGACTGCAGTTGTTACAGCATAGATGACAGTCTTGACAACTAGAAGTCTGTAAATGGTAGTTAATGCCTGTAATTGAGCATGAGCTTGACCTACAAAATTGTGGAATCATGCTTTGATACCAGTGACTCAGGTTTTAACATCACTTAGCTTAAGTATGTTTTTTTGCCCATTAATTTCCAGACATGAACCTCCAAGGAAAATAGAGCGATTTACTCTTCTCAAGTCAGTGCATATTTTCAAGAAGCACAGAGTGCAGTATGAAATGAGAACTCTTTACAGATGTTTAGAGGTGAGTTTATTTCAGACACTTAGGCATTTTTGAAATGCCCAGATTTCAGACCGGGGTATCATAACTTTTCTTTTACCATTGACTGGTGATTCCCTTTCAGTCCGCCCAGGCATGCCTGATAGCTGTAGAGAACGGAAATGTCATTTTGTGTTTATGGAAACAACAGATAGGGAAGTCAGATTCAAATAAAGCCATCCTCTAGAGTAGTTCATACTTTAACTCAGTAATGCCGATTATGCAGACTAATTTTTAGTTTGTTTATTTAATTTTAATTTTTTTTTATTTTTTATTGGGGAGCAGCCATGGTCATTGGTTACACATTGCTTTCATGCTACAATGGCATAGTTGACTCTCCTAGGGAGGGCGCAGCTCACAGTGGCCCATGTGGGGATCGAACCGGCAACCTTGCTTTTATCAGCACTGCGCTCTAACCAACTGACTAATTTTTAAACCATAAGATAGCACTTGGAATAATTTTGCTTACATTTCAAAAATTTTAGTTAAGTTTTCACACAGCCTAATAATTATTTTCATAGCTAATTGGATGTCCCATGGTTATGGTGGGCAGCATTAAGGCTTTTCATTCATCAGTCATTCATTTGTGCATCGAGTAGGGTGAGCATAGTGTTGTGATTAAAGAGAGCATGGGTTCTGGAGTTGGCCAGCCAGGTCTAGTTCCTGGCACTTACTAGCTGTGTGCCCTGCGCCTCAGCGCCTTCATCTGTAGAAGGGGAATAATAATGGTACCTCTCTCATAAGGTTAGTGTGAGGAATAAACGAGATGTTTATCTAAAGCACTGAAAATGCTTTTATCACTTAGTAAATGATTGATAAATGTTATTAAAACAAGCGTTTGTGCATCTTTTAGTTGGAAGCATTGTACTCCGCATTGAGGGTACAAATATGATTAAAACGTAGTCCCACCCTTAAAAATATATATACCCCACATTTTATCCCATGTGCAACAGAAACACCATGGAGCATGCAGAAAATCTTACACTAACTCTTATCATGTAACCTAGTCATGTGTTCCTTATGAGTTGAGCTGTGTTGTGAAACTTATCAATATAATGCTTTGCTACCGTGCTTGCCAGCTGGGTGCCATGAGGCCCTGGCTTTAAGGCGTTTGAGAGGAAGGGGGTGTCAGGGCCACGCTCAGTCCTATTCAACCAGAGGATCTGCACTTTTCCGCTTTTAAATTGGGATTCTGTGTAAGATTTCATAGAGGAGGAAAAGGCTCTACCTCTTTTACCAGTAAAACTTAAAGTTTCTGCTTTCACAGCAGAGCATGAACCAATTTCATGTTTGAAATTTTAGTTAGAACATCTAACTGGAAGTACAGCAGATGTCTACTTGGAATACATTCAACGGAATTTACCTGAAGGAGTTGCCATGGAAGTTACAAAGGTATGACTTTAATTTCTGCCTTTGTTGGGGGAGACCCATGTTGGGTCTCAGCCTTCTTGGGAGCTTCCCACATGTAATCTGAAAGCACCTCTGGATGCAGAGGGCAAGAAGGGAGAGAGAAAGAGGCAAACCACTCCAGAGTGGTAGGTGGCAGGTTAATAAGCAAGGGAACTTACTGACCAGGTTTGTCATGGGTGGCTGCAAGATGATTAGTTTTCCTCACCCACCTGCCACATCTTAAAAGTTTATGTAAGAGGCCCTAACTGGGGCCAGTCACGTACCCAGGAGTCCCTAACTGGGGCCAGTCACATATCCCGTCCAGGTAGTCAACACCACATTTCTGTCTCAAGGCTGTATTCTTGAAGCAGCTTCTAGGAGCAGGGAAGGCAAGCAGAGCACACATTCCAAAACCCGGGAGGGGACAAGGAGCTTCCGATTGCCCGGGTCCAGCTCACACGTCAAACTGGCAGTCTTGGGCCGGCCGAGTGGCTCAGTTGGTTAAGAGCTCGCTCAAGAGTTTGAGCTCTGAGCAACAGCGGTTCTAGCCCAGCCCGAGCTGAGCAGCCGCTGAGCTGCCAACAGGTAGCAGGATGGCTCAGCTAAAAAAAAAACAAAAAACTGGCAGTCTCGTCTTCTTGATTACGTTCCCCAGCAATCTGTATTGTTACGATGAATAGCAGCCTGGCCCTGCCCCACTGAGTGGAGAGGAGGGCCTAGGACAGACCTGGAGGCAGAGTTGCCTCAGTGGTTGGGGTCTTCACGTCCCCATGCAGTGGTGGCAGCTTAACAGAATTCTACCACTGCAGACACATCTACCTGAGCAGCTTCTGAAGTCTCCCTCTTAGTAGTCGGCTAGATCTGGGGACCACATTAGCTGGCAGCCCCTAAAGATCATTGAGGATCAGATAGATTATGTATGTGAGAGTTTTATATACCATCAAGTCATCTTCTCTCTGTTTCAAAGCCCTACAAAAAGATGAGAGGGGTAAAGGAAAAAGAGGAGGCATTAAGAGAACAAAATAAGTACAATTTGTGGCCAAAGAATTTAATTAAGTCTACATTATATTTTAGTTTTGTTTTTCTCTTTTTAGACAAAATTAGAACGGTTACCAGAACACATCAAGAAGCCAATCTGGGAAACAATACCAGAAGAAAAAGAAGCAAGCCAGCCATAAAGTCGGAGAGAGACCACTTGGGCCAGCTTTTGGAATGAGAGGCACGTGCGATGAAGTGGAGAGCTTCCAGTTGAGACAGTGTTGAGTTCACCCAACTGCTCTGTCGAGTCCACATGTCCTGATCAGTTGAAAGCAAGGGATGGAACATTAGTGATACAGTGGACTATAGTGAAAGTACTATTTTATCTGTTGTTTTATACATGTCATCATTTCAGTTCTGATTTTAACAAATGTGAGTAAACCATTTTGACTACTATGCATCAAAAGAGTCCGTTTATATTTTGTTATTCTGTTATTGTTCAAATATTAGTTCGTACTGATTTTCATGTATGTCATTCTTCTGAAAGTGCATGTTTAAAATACTCCTCACACACATTTTTTTCTTTTGAGGCCCCTAAAAGGAACCTTGAGTTAATTTGATGAATTTAACACTGAGCAATTAAAGTTTTTTGTTTACCTTAGTGCAGGCTGGCATATGCTTGTTTGGGTGTGACGGCCTCCACATTTACCTCATTTAAGCATTAAATTCTTGAAAACGAGTATACTTTGCAGCAGATCAGGTACACTTGGGGCACACACTGAACCCTTCTTGTAGCCCGAACTCTTACAGAGCTGCGTAAAGGGGCCACTGTGATGATGGTATTTGAGCTCTCAAGAAATTACTACCTGTGTCATTTTCCCTCTTCCTGTGATTCATTCATTGAGCAGGCTTTTATTTTAACTTCGTGCCCAGCACTGTAGTAAATACCAAAAACCGAATCAATATAACGGCTTTTGAAAATTGTGCAAGGCACAGAAAATATTTTCCTTATTAAGTTCCTCACTGATAAGAAGTCCTCTTTCTTTTGGTAAATGGCATTCTTTTTGTTTGGAGATGTCTACTTTTCCATGAAATTAAATAGTAGTTAAAACCCTGAAAGAGGCAAGACTACAATGGGCTTAAACTGTTGATGTAGCAAACCCAAGGGAGTGATTCGTTTCCTTTTTACAGCAGAATCAGGTCCATGTCTTTTGTGGTTTCCTTCACATCTTTGGAGTACTTAGGGCTTCTCAGTTCCCCCGGCCTTAAATTGGAATTCCTATTCTGCTTTCCCGACCGACTCTCAGGTATCGGTGTTTTGAATGCATACTGCTTATGTATCAGACTTACATTACTGTCATTAACATGAAAAGAATTACAGCCTTGTGCCCCATGACCTCATTCTGTTCGCAGCTTGGTTGTTGACTGTGTCATTCCCAAATGCCTGAAGCATGCTGATCGCAGATAGAAGCCTCAGGATTAAGAACTAGTCGATAAAACAAGAGCCAGATAGTGGTAATTACATCTAGCAAAGCAGCAATTGGTGGGCCATTTTTACTTGAAAAGAAATAATTCTTTAAAAATAAATGTAGCTTTTTTGTGTGTTTTTTACGAACACTATGAATCACTAGTATAATAGGATGATTTATGCACACTTAGCTGTAATGACTCTCTATAAGCTCCTCGGAAGGTGTGCTTCCATTTCCAGCTGTTTTCAGACTAAATGAACCTATAAACCAGATTACCTAGTTTAGCACTTCAAATTATGTGTTAAAATCTTGTTTTAAGATAAATGCGCAAATAAACTATACACATGACAAAAACTAGTGATATTTCTTTGACAAAAGTATTTGGCATATTTGAAGCCTTCTTCTTGATATAAACAAGGTAACTTATTTACCCTGGTAAGCTGAGAAAAGCTTTTTTTTTTTAATTGGGTCTCCCAAGTAAAATGCATATTCTAAAGATTAGTATTAATGCTCCAGTCTCACATTCTCTCCATGTTGGGGATGGGAGGTTGTGAGAGAAAAGGGGACCTGATGGTAGAATATGAACCAGAAGGCAGGTAGAAAGTGAGATTATTTTTTATTGCGGTGTAGCCCTGAGTTCATTGTTGTTTTCTCTGATCTGAAGTACATTTCCTTTTCATAGTCAATAAAATAGTTATGATCTGTTTAGAAATTATTGCTAGGACACTACAGATTAAACTTGTTCACTGCCGAGTTTCAATGCTTTAAAACAATTACATGTTCCTTTGGCCACGTAGACAGGCCATAGTAAATATATAAAGCAATATAAAAATATTGTTGTAAACAAGTAGTCTTAATTTTTTTTTCTATCACTTCCTTTAATTACATCTTCTAGTAATCTTATTAGCAGACTTGGGGAAAACACTAGATATATCAGAAGCAAAATATTATATAACCGAATTATTTAAGTCTATAAAAAATTATAGGCCTTCTAAGCTTCTTTTGCTCAGCCCGCTCCAAATTCTTTGGAGTGTACTTTCTCTTCTAATAATGGCCCCTGAGCCATTCTCTACTGCTCGGGCCCACTTCTGCTTCTTTGAAATGAATTTGTCCTAACAAACTCCTTTTCTGCAACTTAAAAAAAAAATTATGTAAAACTAATATTGCAAGTATGGAAAAGACCAGAAGGAAAGAATGAATAACTGGTCCTGTAGCCTTTCCACCCAGCCTGGGGGACATCTAAGAATTTGAACCTTAGTCAATTCCTCCTATGCTAAATATGGATCAAATCGATCTATCATCACTATCGATAAAAAATTCACATAGTTCATTCTCAAATGTCCATGTTATCAAAGCTATTAAAGCTGAGGACATTGTTTCATGGCTTCAGGATCTTTTCCTGTTGCTTTTTTCTGAAATAGCAGAGGAAGAGCAGGATCTAGGACCAATGGAATTGTGTCTGGTATCCTCAGCCCATGTCATACTAGATAGGAGCCAGCAATGATTTGTTGGGGGAAAAAGATACTGACCAATAACATTAATTATGTTAAATAGAAAAACTAATTAGTAGACACAAGCAATAGTTTAGTGGTTACCAGAGGGTAACCATTGGAAGAGGGGTAGTAGATGAGGGTAAAAGGGGTCAAATATATGGTGATGGAAGGAGAACTGACTCGGTGTGAACACACAATGTGATATATAGATGATGTATTACAGAATTGTACACCTGAAATCTGTAACTTTGCTAACAGTTGTCAGCCCAGTAAACTTGAAAGAAAGAAAGAAAGGAAGGAAAAAAGGAGGGAGGGAGGGAAAAGAGAGAAGAGAAGAGAAAAACTAATTAGACAATTCAGTTTAAAGCCAAAGTTAGGACAAGTAGCCTAATTTCTTAACATTTCTATTTGTCAGCTACCATTCCCCTTTTCCAGTGTTATAGTAAGTTAGTTTTACTACAACACTAACGAGTAGCAGAGTAGAGAAAACATGGACTTTCGAGTCGGACAGGCCTGAGTCAGATAAGAGTTCAAACCCACTAACTGCGATAAACGCAGGCAAGATATTTAACTCTGTCAGAGCCTCAGTTTACTCATTAGTAAAATGTGGGAAATAATACCTACTTACTAAGGCTGGAGTATTCAATTAGATAACTTAGAAAGCACTTCACAATACTATGTAGATAATAGACATTCAATAAGTAATAGTTATGCTAGGTGGCAGCACAAATTTGATGATACTCCAGATACTTGTGTGCTGTACTGTTTAAAAACCAGCTGGAAAGGGCCTCAGCGTGTCTCCAAGATGAGGATAATACTTACCTTAGAGTGTCTGTGAAGTTTAATTTAAATGAGAAAACATGTAAAGTGCTTATTATAATCACACATTATGCCAAGCATTTTCCATAGACAGTCATTTACAGATCCTATCTTAATGTTTATAACAACCAATAAAATAGTTACTATCATCCCCATTTCACAGAAGAAGAAACCAAGTTATGACTTGCCCATTCAATCACCCTTACAGTGTACAGATGAAGTTGAGACAAAAAGGATAAAACTGATGTGTCTTAGTTCAAGTTAGTGCCAAGGACAGCCCAGAACCTAATTTTGAAGACTGATGTCCACATAGTAAATGCAGCATATGCAAACCTGAAGTCCAGATGTATTTCCCCTTTCACATGAGCAAAATTTACTCATTTCCCCTAAAGTAAAGAGATTTACTAGCGGGGAAAAATTTTAAGGAATAAAATATGTAACTGGTATGAATAAAGAGACGACATGTCATACACAGTGTGACCCTGTGGTCTCAAGATCCTGAGTATCTGAGGGGGCAACGTGAGAGCTTAGGCTTCAGCAAGGAGGGACCTACTGGGTCACAAGAACGCTGACATGGAGGTGATTTACAGTAGGTCCTTGGGCCAGGCCCCTCTAGGACTTAGCAGATGTAGGTTTGTTGCTCAAGCATTTTTTTATTCCTGGAGCCAGGCTTGTGGCTGACTGTCTGCCATCCCCAGGGCCCTCCCTGCAAATCCCCGCTCAATTCCTAACGCTGCCATCCTTAAATCCATACTGTTACTCCAAGCTGTCATTTCTCTCTATAGAGTCCTAATCCTCTTTTAAAGGATATATTTATACCTCAACAAGCTCAGCGGCATTTATGGGGCAGGTCGTGGGCAACTGACCCACATGAAAAGCCAACTGGATTTTAGATTCCTCAGCCAGAGGCTAAACCAAGTTATATTTCATTCATATAATTTCTTAACGTGAGCACAAGGGACTATCCTTTAATCACTCCTCAATGTTGCTTAAATATCAATAAATATGAAGAGTTGGCCGGGACGACACCATATTCACACCAGGCCAGTTGAGATGCCATTGGTTCAGAGCCACAGCAGCTACAGGACACACATTGTCTTCAGGTGTGATGAAATGGGGAAAAGGTTGAAAATCCCTGGGCTAGGTGATCTTCAAGGCCTCTTCCAGTTCTAAAGCCCCATTATCTTTTCAAATCAACAAATATTTGCTAACCCAGGTACTCTCAAAAGAATCAAAAGGAGTTGTCTTATAAAATTAAGGAGTGATAGTCACATTAATTCAGCACTGACTCTGCCAAGCACTTTGCTCAGTTACTCAACAAGTGTTTGAGTTTCTTGTATGGGCCAAACACTGTTCTAGGCACTGGGAATTGTGCAGTGTGTATGGTGAAGTCCTTCTCCTCAAGGATCTTAGGCTCTATGGGAAAGACATAATTGATAAGGCAAGTAAAGAGTTAACAGGAGCGGGCTTGTGAGCTGGCAAGATGGGACAGGCAAGGAGTTAACAGGAGCAAGCTTGTGGGCTAACAGGAACGAGGTTAAACATTAACCGCTGGGCTCTTGACTCCCCTGGCCAGCACTGCACCTACAAGCTGACTAGCACCTTACATCCATCATAGGTGAGAACAGAACAGTTCCCAATTGCAATGGCAACCCTCTGCAAGCTGACATCCATCATGGATGGGAACAGGACAGTTCTCAGGAGAAGACAATTGTAACGACAGCCCTCCTGTAAGCTGGCAAGCACTCTACATCCTGCTTAGAAAAATATAAAACCCCAGCACTTCTTATCAGTGCAGCTGCCCCGCATCGGACTCTGCCCTATCTCTCTCTTACCCCTCTGTCTCGAAGCTCTCCCTCTCAAACTCCCCTGACAAAACTTCTGCCAGTTACTTTCAATAAATAGTCTTACTCTTGTAGAGTCTCATAAATTCTTTTACATTCTGCGAACGACCAGGGGTTAATTCTACACCAAGACAATAATAAGAGGAAAAAACGAATAAGATCGTTTCAGCTGCAGTTAAACATTGTGAAGAAAATGACATAGGATAATGTCTGACGAATTACTTGAGTGGCTACTTAAGGCGAGGTTGGGAAAGTTCTCTCTGAGGAGGGAAGAATGGCAAGAAGGAGGCAGCCATGTCTTCACCTTGGGGGAGAGCAGTGCAAGCGGCGGAACCAATCGGTGCTAAGGCCCAGTGAGCTTGCTGTGTCTGCGGACAAGGGCAGAGAAACATCAAGACCAAGTAGGCAGGGGCTAGATCATGTAATGCATCATGACTGTGGGAAGGGGTGTGGATTTTACTCTGAGTGTAAATGGGACTCCACAGGAGGTTTGGAGCAGGAGACTTATAAGATCTGATTTATGCTTTAGAACACACTACTCTGGTTGCTGGGTATGGACTGTAAAGAGGAGGTTAGCAAGAGGGGGCAGCAAGACTGGTTAGGACCTGCTTCAGTGGACCAGGTGATGGATATGGCCTGGACTAGCGTTGCAGTAGTGGAGGTGATGAAAAGTGGTTGGATTCAGAATGTAGTTTGGAGGTGGAGCTGGTGGAATGACCTACTAATAGATTAAAATGAGATCTGAGAGAAAGAGAATTCAAGGATGACTCCTAGTTTTTGGCCTAAACAACTGGATAGATGGTGATGCCATTACTGAGGTGGAGAAGGGATTGGGGGAGGAAATCAATAGTTTGGCTTTGGCTTTGGCCTTGCTAAGTCTGTGATCTGAGTATAGATATCCAGTGAGCAGCTGGGTTCATGAATCTTGAGTTATGGAGACAGGTCCAAGCTGAAGATGTAAATTTGGAAGCTATCAGCCTACAAATAGTACGTAATGTTGGGATGAATGAGTTCATCTGGGGGGAGTGTAGGTAAACAGGAGAAGAGTACTGAGGACAAGCCTGGGAAGCCCCAAGCAGGCGGCGATTTGGTAGGAAGGAGGAGGTGCTTGCAAAGCAGATGAGCAATCAGTAAAGTTGGAGTGAAATCAGAGAAATGTGGGTCCTTGAAACCGAGAGTATTTACAGAAAGAATTCCTTTGGTGAATCTGCTGGCAAGTTGAATGAGAAAAGCAGGTCATTGGTGACCGCTGTATAAGCCTTTTCCATGGAGTGATAAGGATGAACATCCAACTGGAGTAAGTCAAGGTGAGAATAAGAAGACGAGAGCTGGCCGGGTGGCTCAGTTGGTCAAGTGCACGAGCGCTTGAGCAACAGAGCTCAGGTTCAATTCCCACATGGGCCAGTGAGCTGTGCCCCTGAGCTGAGCTGCTGCTAAAATGCCAGCAGGTGGCAGGATGGCTCAGCTGGTGAGAGCACATGCTCCTAACAACAAGGTTACCATTCGACTCCCGCATGGGATGGTGGGCTATGCCCACCTGCAACTAAGATTGAACACAGCACCTTGAGCTGAGCTGCTCTGAGCTGCCGATGGGTGGCAGGATAGCTCAGTTGGTGACAGCATGTGCTCCTAACAACAAGACTGCCGGTTTGACTCCCGCATGGGATGGTGGGCTACGCCCGCCTGTAACTAAGATTGAACACGGCACCTTGAGCTGAGCTGCCCTGAGCTGCTGACGGGCAGCAGGATGGTGACAGGACTTGGAGCTGAGCTAGCTGTGCCCTCCACAACTAAGACTGAAGGACAACTTGGCTGTTTCCTTCCCCCAATTCCCCAACACTGTTCCCCTCCCCAATTCCCCAATAAAATCTTTTTTTTTTTAATGAGATCAACAAGTTGCCCGTCTCAATGAGTTATCGGAGTGCAGGTGTTAGAAGAAGTGAGCTGGAGGGAGAGGTGATGATGATGTTTGAATGTTTCAGAGGGACTACAGAAATGCCTGATAGCAAGGCCTAGGGCAGAGGTCAGCAAACTTTTGAGACGGAAGAGCCAACCCTGTCCCTCACAACAATTTAAAAATTATTTGAGAGCCATAAAACAAATGAAATCACCATCATGTGAATAATATCCTTTAAAATTTTTATAAGTGAAACTATAATAGTTTATTTTCATTTTCAATTGTACTTCAAAGCCACATGTACATACCCAAAGAGCCGCATGTGGCTCGTGAGCCGCAGTTTGCCGACCCATGGCCTAGGGTATGACTCTCAAACTGTATGTGTATTGGAAGGAGCTGGAGCACTTGTTAAAACACTAATTGCTGGGCCCACTCCCAAAGTTCCTGATTCAGTAGGCAAGGTGGAGCCTGGGAGTTTGCATTTTTTACAGGCTCCCAGATGCTACAGCTGCTGGCCCAGGAACCACAAGTGAATGGGAGGCCAAGGTGGGGAGGAAGAAAAGCTCTTTGGAAAGAACTAAGGAGATCAAGGACCTGTGAGGCCAACGTGTGGGATGACTTGGCTCTCCACCTAGATGTGATGACTCTGAGCTGATGCTTTGAGAAATTTGGTGACGTCAACAGTGAACAAGGGCAACAAGGATGAGTACATGGAGGGGTACAGTCGGACATGGCTTTGAAGGGACTGGCATATCTGAGGCAGAAAAGAGAAAAGGTGGAGGCAACAGTTAAGAATGAGGAGGAGACTAGCCCTATTCTCCAGACCCTGAGGAATGTGGGGTGTGGGAGAAAAATCCATCAGCACTTTATAGGATGACAGAAGGGGTGAGCCCACTTTCCTACTTCAGGAATGTCAAGGAAACGAAACAACTTTGAGAGATTAGGGGCGCATGGAAGCAGAAAACCTTGAGAGAGGACGTCAGACCTGGAGATGTACAAAACAATTCAGGGATGAATATATTGTACAATGAGAGACAGGCAGTGTCGCCCCTGAGACGACGAGACTCTCTGGACTGATTACCCCTAAAAATCTTCTAGAAAAATCAGTGCTCCAGGTTTTCTGATTTCTTGGAGGTGTCATTTTTATATTATATTAAAATAAGCATGAATATAAAACAAATGTGCATGAACCTTTAATCTAAAAGTAAGAGACTTCAGGGCCGGCCGAGTGACTCAGTTGGTTAAGAGCTCGCTCAAGAGTGCGAGCTCTGAGCAACAGGGTCACGGGTTCGATTCACGGCACGAGCTGAGCTGCCGCTGAGCTGCCAACAGGTGGCAGGATGGCTCAGCAAAAAAAAAAAAAAGTAAGAGACTTCAGAGATATGTTAAGTCGTGCTCCCAGATCCTAGTCACATGTTCATATTTCGGAGAGAAAGTAGGAAAAGCCACTAGGTTTTGCGTGAAGGGTGTTGGAGGGAAGCATTTGTAGTTTAAATTGGAAAATGAGAAACTTCCAAGACTCAGGGTGTGCTCTGTAATGGAGCTGAAGATAATTGTGTTGGGGACTGAGTTAGCTTGGTGGCAGAGCTGCTCACCTAGAGTCCTCCACATCACAGATCTTGCTGCTTCTCATTAGAGTGCATGGAGGAGCAAGCCCCAGCTCCCCACCAGATTCTACTTTATGGGCTAGGAGTTGGTCCTGCTTCCTCCATGGACTTCGGAGTCTCCTGTGTCTCCAAGATGGTCTTCTCTAGAGCGGTGTGGTGCCCAACTAAAGGCGCAGGGAGTGTGTATGAAATGGGAGGGTCTCAGCCCGTGTTCCCAAGTCATCTTCACTCCACCCTCCCTCTGCCTACGTCTCAGCTTCCTCCCCTCCTCCCTCTTTAGAATCTACTGGGTGGATTAGTTGAGTGGTTGACAAGATGAATGGGAGGGGTCAGGCTGGGGGAGCTTAGCAGGCTGGATGTCAGACCTTCCAGGGAAATCTTCTAATGATCTTAGGGCACTTAGCTGCCTGGTCCCGCCCCTTTATCGCCTGCCCCCTGCGCTGCCCATCATGCTCAGTTGTCCAGGAGATGAAGAAGAGGCTGGCTGAGCAAAGGAAAGGGAGGAAGAGGACCCTAAGCTAAGGAATCAGTCAGCAGAAACCCAGGAAGAGGCTCCGCCCTTTGATCTGTGACATTCCTGGGGGCAGAGATGGGCCAGCAGTTCAGCTGGGAGGAGGTGGAGACGGAGGGTGAGATGGATGTGGGGGAGCTCCAGGAGTGGTACAAGAAGTTCGTGGTGGAGTGCCCCAGTGGCACACTCTTCATGCACGAGTTTAAGCGTTTCTTCAAGGTCTCAGGCAACGAGGAGGCCGCCCAGTATGTAGAGGACATGTTCCGAGCCTTCGACAAGAACGGGGTAAGGCACTCTGAAGGGGAGGACTGGTTGCCAGTCTACCGGGCACATTTCTCCTCCTCAAATTAAAGGAGCATCCTTGGTGGGGGTTCTTCTTTTTTCTTCATCCCCCTCTCACCTTTTCTGTCTCACCTTTTCTCTAAAACTCTTCTCTCGCCCCATCTTTCTGTCCCTTCCCATCTTCTCTGCCCTCCTCTCTGTCTCTCTGCTTTCATCTGACTCTCCCTCTCTCTTCTTCCTGAGAGCTGAAGGTAAGCTTGGCAGAAGGGCACACAGTCCAGTCCTCTCTGTGTATTTTTGGCCGGGGCTCTGTAGCCCCAGGACCTGGTTTTTCACCCTCCAGAGCCCCTGCCCCTCTAACAATAAGGAGCAAAGAAGCTGTCCCCAATAGGACAAGCTATCTTGGCATAAACCGTGAGCTCCCCCTCGTTGGGGTCCTTTGAATTGAGACTGGTCAGGTCTTCCCAACCAAGAATGCAGGAGACGTCCCCTTCATGGGCTGGGACATCGGATGGATTATTGCAAAAGTCCCCTTTGACTCTCCAAGTCGTGGAAGATTCCATGACATCATTCAACCACATGGTTTCTTTAAGCCCTCCAATGACCCCAGCAGCTAAGAAGATACTACATGTTGTAAACACACACCTAGAAATTGAATTTTTTTTTCTAAGATTTTTTTTTAATTGGGGAATTGGGGGATGGGAACAGCACTGAGGAGTTGGGGGAAGGGGAACAGACAAGTTGCTGTGGTTTTGTTCTTCAGTCTAGTTGTGGAGGACGTTGCTTCACTGGCCCAAGTTGGCACCATCATTG